GATCTGACTCCTCATCATTAGGACGATATCGTTTATCAGTGCCAGCCACTTCATAGTCACAGTGTTTCCTCCTTTGCCAACCTGTTCTCATTCCCAAGTCGTTCCAGATGGACGCATGGCCCTTGACGTCAGTTTGTAACGCACAAAGGGCCTCCGCAGTGCGTTGAAATATATTCATTTCTTGTCATTTAGGTAGGTGTAGGTTATTTAACATAAAAGTCTGAGGAAGGAGGTGGTTGGGGTGGATGGTGGGCCATAAACCCAACTTTCAGTCAGGAGACTGGTGTTCGTTGCAATGTGAAACAAAAAGTTAACATTGAATGTTTTTATTTAGGTCACATTAGTAACTCAAGTTACGCAAAGTAAAGTTAGTCACGTAAGTAATGTAATTTTAAGCCAAATCAAGACCTTTTCTTAACCGTTACCAAGTAGTTTTGTTGCCTAAACCAAACCAAATTTTACATTATTAACTACTAGTTTTATTTTGAAAGGTAAACTGGATGTTGCATATTTATTATTGCTAACTTGACCAGACATTGCATAGTTTTTGTCGCCGACTTGACCCTACACGTCGAAAGACAACGTTAAAGAGGTACCCAAGGGGTCTTGAGGAAGCGTCCAGATGTGACGAGTTGGTAGTGAGAATGTGTTTCCTTTGCGCCCAACAGACAAAACTCATAATTCTTATGGCCACTAGAGGGCTCAGTCACTCAAACGTAAACATGTAAACATTGAAAAGTAAATCCTTCAGTGTGCTTCAAACAAAGTATCTCAGAGTCTAAATCAACAAATGGGCAACAAAATTGACTCCACATTGGAGGTTTCCTGTCGTTTTCACTTTTCGATTCAGCCTTTAGTGTTCTCCTACATGCAGCCCAGAGAAGCTGAATTTCAGCTTCATAGGTTGAACACAATATGTATAAAGCAATGAGTGATTTTCTTTGGCCCTCAGATTGCATTAGAAGAATTTTAAGAGGCATGAGGGGGTAAAACTATCCAGCGTTTCACAATAAAATAACTCAACTATAAATCATCTGAAGATCCATCAGATTAAGTTCAACCCCTCTGGTTAACTAACACTAACTGGGTCTCTACAGATTCAGTGGTTTCCTCCCTTACTTTTTTCAGCACTGGCACAAATTTAGGACATTGCTTCTCTTTTCTGCAAACCCCAGTCTGACCTCCTTCCAACGTCCACATCACAGACACGTTTGACTCATGAAGTCACTTGAAAACTGTAAGCGTAAACGCTGAGGTGTGTTGCAGCTCAAACAAGCCGCAATCTCCAGCCGTTTAAAAGCTGCAGGGCGTATAGAAGTGGCAGCAGAGGGGGATGACAAAGAACAAACAGCACTCAAACCCAAACAAGAGAAGAATAAACCCTCACTGCCCTGTTTATGGTAGCGCAGGTTTTTTTATGAGGGGAAAACCCAACTCATGCACTCTGCGCACAGATACAGCAGAAACGGGACAGGTCCCTAATGCTTCACAGCTGGACCCTGCCCAAACAGACAGACAGAGGGAGGAGACGGTGGAAAGGAAGGGGGACTGCAGATCTGGTTCTCCCGAAAGTAAAATCATCATTAAAAAACACTCAAAAATACAAACTTTTATAAGAGAGGTGAGTTTGTGCAGTGTGAAGTAGGTGCGCTGCAAATGAACCTATTATACACTTCAAGTAGGATTCTTCACAGTGGGTATAATTGCAAACAGGCACATGTTTGGCAATGTGAAGGTACTTTCTGAACCTGACCGCTCTGTTCTGCCAAGCATTACACGAGGTGGCAGAGCTGCAGGAGAGAGTTAATGTACAGTAAAGTGACAGTATTAGGACGGACCCCAGTGCAGCCAGATGACTGCAACTCGCTAAACACATGACATCATATCTGGGCAGGGCTGAACATGCAGCCAGGGTCTCCTTCGCGGTGTGAAAGACCAGAACAGACCTCAGCTAATCCTGCAGGCCAACTGGCAATAAACACCTTCAGTATGTGAAGTGGAGGAAGAAGGACTCACTTTACTTAAAATCTAGAGACTCTAAGTTAGAACCAAAGTATAAAATGATATTTAAAGTACTTATGAAGAGCTGAAAACATCAGATGTGTGTGGAGTGATGAGAAGGTTTTAACCTTCCTCACATTAACACATGAAACTAACAGAAATGTCTAATTTCCATAATTTTCTCCACATGTTTTTCTATCATTTGAGCTTTGACTGCAGCTGTTTCAAAGACGTCATCTCGCTGTGTTTTATCCAAAGCAACTTACAATTGCATGTATGTCAGAGGTCGCACACCTCTGGAGGAACTAGGGGTAAAGTGTCTTGCTCAGGGACACATTGGTGTCACAGTGGGAATCGAACCTGGATCTCTCACACCAGAGAGGTGTCTTATCTACGGTGCCACCGCCACCTCCAACTTATCAAATGTTGTTGTAAAATCCTAATCTGAAGTGAATGTATGACGTAACTATAGCTGTTGAAAACGGCAGCGACTGGAGCATTAGCTCCACCAGCTGTTTATCTTAATAACTCCCAAAATTCACATTACAGTAGTGGATGGAAACATGCATTAATTATTTTGCAGAAGTTTTGGTTAATGTTACGCTAAATATGGACGGCTGCTCCTGTTTTTTGTAATGAGTCACAATCCACAAAGGTTTGGAAACACTGGTTTAATACATTTTATTTTAAAATGTATCATATTACATAAAATCCTAATCTAAATGAAGCTAAGAAGTAAATATAGCTGTCAAATAAATTTTGTGAAGTAAAAAGCACAATATTCCATCAGAAATTTAGTTGGTGCAGAAGTATAAAGTAGCATAAAGTGGAAATATTCAAGTAAAGTACCTCTAAATTGTATTTAATACTTGAGTTAATGTACTTCTACCACTGGATAGTATATGAGGAAGAGGAGAGTATAGAAGGAAGAGTGGAAAATCAAGAGCGTGTAAGAGAAAAAGGGAACCCCACCTACGGTATGGATGGAGGGGAGTCAGTTACGTAGAGTTTATTAAAGCATTATGTCAGTGACATTCAAACCTTGCTGCTTTCTCCCAAGGCACTCACTATACGAACTCAGCACTTAGACCTGCACAAAGGAGAGCACTGTGTGTGTGTTTAGGAGTCCTATTTCCTCTCCTTTCTCATATGGTATGTATTCCATCATAATGAGATATAAATCTCTGCGGGCGTCACAGGCTGTTTTGAAGAGGTCTTTACAACAAAAGCCTTATGGTCTGCTCAGAATTGTAAATAAGGTGTGTTTAGAGTAGAAAGGAAGAAACTATCTTCAGTTCACTGTGAGAGCTAGAAAATAATGTCTGTTAGCTAGCAAGTAAAGTCTTCTCTGTTCAGACATCATTTCCATTAAAGAAGGTTTTTCCTGCCACATTCAGGCCTTCGTTAGAGACTCGTTTTATTCTCATGCCACTGCCCCAGCAGTCTCCAGCCCTTTTCAGTTTTTGACAGGTGACTTCATGTTTCAAAAATCAAAGCTGCTACATGTCCTTTTATAGCCTGCTTTAAGCTATCAGCAGTCTGACAGCTGCATGATTAGCATTTTCCAGATTGTCCAGTTTTCTTTTTTTAAGGTGTTGTAACAATACTGATTCATTCTGTAAACATTTTGTCTTGGATACGGCTGATTAACTGGAACGTTTCTCAAAGCATGCCACAGAGTTTTTAGGGTGATTTTCTACCTCTTTAGGCAGCCAGTATCAGTCTTAACGTGATATATCAAGTTATAGTTAAGTGTACAGTTTGGGTCCATTTGAGCTCGTGGTATGACATTTGGACATCAGATATTTAAGACTCTGATAAGAGAGCTCATGAAACTTGTTACGGGAAGAATGATGAAAATACAATCTCAATCAACCAAATGGAAATAAACCTCAGTGACTTATGAGGTGGGAAAAAGTGATGCTAGGCATGTATACAGGACATGATTTACCTGGACAGAGAAGGGGTGACATGCGGTAAAATTAAACTGAATTGCAAAATGGGTGTCACTATGGTTTTTCTAAATTTATACTCTGGGATGTCCTGTTTTTCCATCAGGATTGCTCCTAATACTACGCTACCCATCAGCCTTAGCTGCCATTGCTGTGTCAGAGACACTCGAATCAGAGCTGCATCTTCGTACCTTTGACTTTTTATCAAAGAACCAGACTGGATTGCCATGCATGTCATGAATGCTACTGACGTTTGTGATCCCCTGACTTTTAATCTAGCGCCATCAACAGGTCAACATGTTAATAGTTCATGTGTCGCTGCGCAGCGCTGACTTAACGTGATGCATGCTGGACTTAAAATAAGACATGTTGGTGTCCGACTTTCGCCGGGCGCTGCTGCACATCACCATGGCGCATGACATTCAAACCTCGCGGGAGCAAGGCGGCTGCAGAAGCTGAGTCCAGCCCCCGCAGTTGCGTTTCTCCGGCTGCACAAAGTTGGAACCACCCAGGGCCGTTAAATAATTATTATTTACTTACTTATACTTATTTAACGGCCCTGGAACCACCTTTTGTCTGGTCTCACAGCATTTTTCTTTGCAAATGCCGCAAGATCAGTCATTGATCTCAGCTCACAGTACGCTCATGCAGGTAGAATGTGTCCGACTTGACGGCGCCATTTTTATACCCTGGCCCTGCAGTCGCCTGCAGCTCACGTTAGACTATCAAGCCGGCGAAAATCAGCCGCAGTCATCTCGAACACACCTAATGTGTCCAACACTTTGCTTTATGACCAAATACCTGCAGAACTAATGTCATTCCCATCAGCCTCAGCTGTACGCTGTTCAGTAGCAATGTTAGCATGCTAACACACTAAGCTAACATGGTGAACAGACGGTTAGCAAATCTCAGTTTCTGAACTCTCCACTGGCTTTGTTTTCCTCTCTTACAGCTAAACTACCAGAGCCAACTACTACAAGTCCCCCAGCTGCACACAGCCCCACAAACAATCCCCGCACTCCAACACCCGGACCACTCTTAGACCCTGTGAGAGCTGAAATTCAAGCAAGAATACCAGACCCTGTCACCTATTCACCAACAGAGGCACCACACACAGCCTCACCAGACCACCATGGGACAGACTCACCTCCCCTCATGCCACAGCCTCTGAGAGCCCAACCCCGATGTCTGACGACTATGACCTTCAAGATTTCAAAGACTCAAACCAGGTACAGTCAATACCAGTTAGAGGAGACAGTATGTCCCCCTTGCAGCTCCCTGTCTTACCCACCAGTCGCTCGCGGCCTCCACACCTTGACATCAGTCATGGGGGAGGGGCGGGGTCTGGCCAAGGTGAGATCAGCAGCAGCGGTGACAGCGCTAGTGGGAGTGAGGTGGGAGCGGTGGTGACCCCGACACAGGTGTGGGTGGAAACCACATCAGCACCATCGCAGCTTCTAGCGATCACTTCAAAAGTGGTCAATCCAGAAGTTCTCACCCCAGAGCCAAGCATCCCAGACGAGACCGGACAGGTGGGGCATCAACCCGCAGTTGTTTTTAAAGAGGATGTCACCCCTGAGGCTACAGCGACGTTCGACCCCTACCAATCACTGGCCCTTCCGGTAGATGGGGAGTCATCAGCCAAACCACCTATCCATCTCATCATTGTCAATGTGCACGAGAAAAATCAATCAGGTGAGTTAAAGCAAGGCGTGAAGACAGATGGGACCAAGTTGGAACAGGTCTGTTCCAGTCTGGGTCAGTTGGTGTTAGTCTGCAGATAAAATCATATAGTGTTTGATATATAAATATGAATCTGAAGTTTCAGATCCAGTCGCTGCCAGTCGTTCTGATAATGATTTCGCTAACTTCAGTGGCCGATGATGTTACTCGTGTGTTACAGAGGGAGACGTACCTGTAAACAAAGAGTTTTAGTTTGCTTCATTTTAGTTCATTCGCCTCCAGTTCCCTCTGTGGGCTCTACAGTCCCGCACACCTCTGTCAGCAACTGGAACAATCTATGCATCTTTATGTTGGTTTGTCCGGTCTTTGTTGGTTTCAGCTTGTCTGCTTTGTCCCAAGTTCTGGACGTCCTTTTTTCTTAGTTTCTTTCTTTTGTATGGGAGATGCCACTGCCCTAAAAATCTGATCACCTACAGATAGATAAGTAAAAATTTTGAGCAATAAACTATTATTTAAATGTTAATTGTTGTCCAAGAGTGATAACAACAATCAAGATTGCTGTCAGTTGCTTAAAATATTTGTATATTAGTGTATGCCTGGTGGAAGAAAGGGATAAAAACACAATTGTTCGCTGGAAACTGTGCAGTGTAGGAACCCTTTTGTTTAAGCAAATTTGAACTAACCTGTCAATGTTTGAATTATTTTTGTACGCAACCAACGTAGCATGATCCTTCACTACCTTGTAGAAGGAATCCAGTAGAAGAATTAAGCCATAAAATGCACCTGTAGTCAGTAGCATGTGGTGGCTAATGCTTGCTTGTGTTAGTGAACCGCTGTGTAACTGACATTACCGAGTGAGTTTGTTGACTTAATGAATCTACTTGTGCAAAAGTCACGTTATCTCACTTTAACGTTGTTATTTTAATCCAAGGTGCCTTACTGCATAATTAGCAAACCTTTATACCAAGGACGTCACTTTGTGTTGAAAAGTGGCGGGGAGGTAGGGGCTCAGATTAAGGGTGTGAAGAGATACTTAGCTTGCGAGATATCACGATACGCGATATTACGTTCACGAGAACGAGACGAAAGATCCTTAAACAGTGTTTTAAAGACATCCTCAATGCCAATATATGTAAGTGGGGGGTCTGGGGGCATTCTGGTGAAAGTTTCTGCACCAGTTTATGGTGGAAATGTTTTTATTTATGGAAAAGGAAACACAAAATTCAGGTGGCAGGTGACATTTGAAAATATATAAATATAATAGAATATAAGTCACTGCAGCTCTCAGTCGTTCTGTGTAGCTTTCAGATCTGTTTCTCCTGTAGATCAACTTTTCTCATTTAATATCATCCCCGCTGAGGCAACACATGTAGGCATGATTTAGTCTTCCTCCTTCCCACTTCCCTCCTCTTTTGTCATGTTCACAGGGAGAAAACGGAAAACTTGGCCAAAAAGAGTCCAGAAGTTGTTTAAGTTGTTGATTGGTGCTGCATGTTTTGAGGTTATTTTATAATCAGTATCTTGTTTGTTTTGGTTTAAGTTACTTTTTTTGGACAATGCATATTTTTTTCTTCTATATTTTAATTGCATTGCATGTTTTCTTAATGTGCAAACCTTTCTAAAGGCATTTTCATTTGTTATTTAACGGCAAGTTGTATGTCAGAACGTTTTTTAACAAATTATGCTTGTGGTGGGGACAAAATCAGCCATTTCAAAAAGTGGTGGGGACATGTCCCCAGCGTCCCCAGTGTAAATGACATCTATGCTTTATACACCTCTGACTAAAATCTAATATTCCACTTACTTACTTCTCGGGCAGTTTTGTGATTGCTAGTTTTTGCCATTTTGCGTTAAGAAAGAGAACAACAATAGCCGGATTTACTGGCAGGATGACAGGACATCAGACAGACCACACAAGAGACACGCAGCCTTTTGTCCTTACAAACTGTGAATTTTTTCAGACAGACATGGTTTTAATTTCAAATAAAAAGTGATCCCAGGATGTTTACGAAACACTGTTTCAGGGGCTTTCTCATTCCAGTCTGACCGTTTTCATGCCATCTTCTTGACATTATTTAAAGTAAACTGCCCACTGGTAAAACACATTGACCATAAGCCAACTTCAATAGAGAAACACTGCTGACAGGTCAAACCTCAGGATGGATGCAGTGGAAGACAGACCTCCAGAGTGTGTTTACTGTAGAAAGATGGCCTATGGAGAAAGATGCCCGACGTTGACCAATTTGGGGCAGCTGTGGCATTGGAAGATCGGCCGTTTGATCCCCGGCTCCTCCAGTCTGCATGCCAAAGTGCTCTTGGGCAAGAGTGTGTGTGATTGTGTTAGTTTCTGTCTCTGATGAGCAGTTGCACCTTGCATGTAGTGTAAAGCACTTTGATCGGTCGGAGGACTAGTAAGGCCATTTACCAGCATTTCACACAAGTCCTCAGTCGACTGAACCACAACTTGTAACTAATTATGTAATGTATTACCTCTTCCTCGCAAGCCTTTTGTGCTTTGGGACTCAACAGTTTCCCATTTCACGCAAAACTGTTTGGTCTTTCAGCGAGAACGTCTATCTCGTGTTTTGTATTACATGGTGCTGTCAGGGACTTTACAGTAATCTGCTGCGGCTGATTCAGGGTTGTTTGTTGTCTCCGTAGGAAACTAAGCTAATGGTGTGTTACCTTTGTATTTGTATGCTGCTGACAGATTTTCACACACACACACACACACACACACACAAACACACTGTTTGCAGAGCCAGATGTGGAAAGTTATGAAGTCAGTCGTCTCTGCTCGGCCAGTTTTGTAGCTATACATATTGTAAACACATCACAGAGTGTCCGGTGGGGAAACAGCGGCGCCCCCATGAATAGTCAAATATATCAGAGCAAATGATTCTTTCTTTCTTTTTCTCACACAAACAGAAAGACACTGTTGGTCTGATGGAGTCATTAAGCTCCCTTCTATATCTAAAAAGTTGTGTGTTCAGCATTCGTGTATAAATATCTGTAGAAAGTGCCAACAACAAACCGCAAATAGTTGACCTTAATTGTCTTTTATCTTGGGAGCAGCCTGAATTGCCGTAACTAACAACTTCTCCAATCACTGCTCTCTTTTTCTTTCCCCGCAATCGTCTGCATTACCACCATGGATGGCTTACGAAACAGGCTAACCAGGCACAGGCCCAGGGACTCAAGGACTCAGGGGGCCCCAAAGCCTCAGTGTCTGCTTAAAGTCCTACATTACTGCAGCAAGATGAGAAGTTAAATCACTGGAGGTCAGCAAAGACACAAAGTTGCTTGTTAAGCAAAATAGCAGTGCTTTAAGAAAATGTAACCTGCATCCAAGTTTCCTTTTGACAGCAAATTCAGGATCTGTTTTCAACCTGCGATTCAACACGCTAAATATAATTCATCGGAGACGCCAAAATGTTGGAAGGCGTGCATTCGACAAAAAACCTGATTCATTCAGTCTTTTGTTTTAGTTTTGTCGAATGTTAAAGACAATTATTATAGGAGTAAATGTACAAATATTGGAAAGCCTCGGGCGTAGAATTAGTTTTACCTGGTAGAATAGCAAAAGAAATTCTGTAATTCTGCTTAAAATTTTAAGGACTTCTGCCTTGAAACTCAGCGTTCAGAGTGCTCTGATTGCAGAGATGCTCACAAGTCTCTGAGCTAGAGTCCAAGTCGAGTCTCAAGTCTCTGAGCTAGAGTCCAAGTCAAGTCTCAAGTCTTTGAGCTAGAGTCCAAGTCAAGTCTCAAGTCTTTGAGCTAGAGTCCAAGTCAAGTCTCTGAGCAAGAGTCCAAGTCAAGTCTCAAGTCTTTGAGCTAGAGTCCAAGTCAAGTCTCAAGTCTTTGAGCTAGAGTCCAAGTCAAGTCTCAAGTCACTGAGCTAGAGTCCAAGTCAAGTCTCTGAGCAAGAGTCCAAGTCAAGTCTCAAGTCTTTGAGCTAGAGTCCAAGTCAAGTCTCAAGTCACTGAGCTAGAGTCCAAGTCAAGTCTCTGAGCTAGAGTCCAAGTCAAGTCTCTGAGCTGGAGACCAAGTCAAGTCTCAAGTCTCTCGTGGTTATTACGAATGCACAACCATGTAGCCTAATATACAACGCGTCTACAATTAATGACTTATTATAAGCTTATAAACTACTGCAAGTCAACACCAACCGCAGACTCTCAAACCAGTGTAACGTTATAACTAAATAAAACTGTACCGTTACATGATCAACAATAAACCTGTAACCTCTTTCTAGCCAACGGTAATAATTAACGTGATGGCAGCCAGCGGGACGTAAAAGATTACATTAATCGACTGCCACAAGTTTTACTCACCACAGGTTACTAACCTATTTGCGTTCAGTGCTTCTTTGTTTGGGTCTTGTTGTATGAAGTTTTAAAGCCAAAGTTTATGATGAATGCTCAGGAGCTGCCGGTGTTTGTTGTCCTCTCTCATGTGCGGCCGCGGGCAGCCGATGCTACGTGTTACGTAAGCAGGTTATAGGTAACGCAGGGAAAAACAGCAAGCTGATCAGAAGTTTCCTAAAAAATAAACAGTGTTTATGAGTCCTGCACCTCAAGTCCAAGTCAAGTCTGAAGTCTTTTGAGGACGAGTCTCAAGTCATTGTGTGTGCGACTCAAGTCGCACTCGAGTCCGAGTCTCTAACTCGAGTCCCCATCTCTGTCTGATTGTGCAGATAACTTTGCTGGTATTGTTCATGAATATCAGAAGCGTGTCCCTCGTAGTTGGCGGCAGTTGCCTACCTTGCTTATTGAATGGACAGATACGAGAGTATAATTAATCATAGAACTATTCCTTTGTCAGAACTTGAGTAAATGTAGTTATGTAAAGTTAAATGATTGCATCCATGGCCAGACACTCACTCAGAGTACAGCGCTGATGTGTTTGTTAGCATCTGGCCAAGTCGTGCCATCTTCCAGGAGTTGTGTTTATTATTGAAATGTTGAAATCATATTCTGTTGCAAAGGTTCTACATCGTCACATGAAGCTGGTTTGTGTGAGGTCCACCGACTAACTGTTTCCACGTCTTGAGGAAAATTGGAAAATTGAGGTGTTGAGTGCTTTCCAATTAAAACTCTTCCTGTTTCATGGCATCAGGGTCTGAGTCGCACTGAGGCTTTTTTGACTTTGACGCGGATATGTTGTGGGTAACGCAGGTTAATTAGTTCTAAGAGGAGCACCCACAGTGTGTCTGTTTGTCCTCACACAAGATAACTAAACTCAGATCTGTGTTTTTGCATGTTGCATGTTTTTACTCCAGTTCCCACGATATAGCTTCCATGTGTTACCATAAAGTCTTAATGAAGAAACACAGGCGTGCATTGTTTGAGAGCAGCCCCCGGCACCAGCTAAACTTCATCATAAGATGACTGTTAACCATCCAGATATGCGCTTTTTAATAAACATCAGACATGAGCTGCTCTCGGATCCTGGAAAACAACAACTGGGATATTAAACCAAGAAAGAGGACTTGTTTTTAGGGCTGAATATCTGACCTCTGAACATTTTTAGTACGGACTGTTAATTGTCTGTAGCACCAAGTATTGAACTCTTTGTCATAATTACCTTTTCTCAAAAGACTAACTTAACACTAAATCCACTTTTTAAAATATCAAATAAACTTACAGTCACTTTATCACACTATTAATTGATCCTGGTCCCAGTGTGTAGTGTTTATTTAGAGACAAGTCATTTTAGTTTTTTCTGTCCTCTAGACCCCCCAAAATCACTGCTGAGTCAAGGTTCCAAAGCATATGTTTTATTTGTGATAAGGTTCAAGCTACCACAGGGTTTTAAGTAAGTCCTTAATATTATTGATTAAAATCATAAGTGTAATAATTGTAATGAGGCAAAGTTAAGATACTGATAAAACATTTAACATGACACGTTGACAAGGGTTGCAACGTTGTTGTGTTTCCGTAAAACACGCTGAACACAACGATATCAGTTAGAGGAAAGTTGTAAATCCTCACCTTGGAGAAGCTGAAACCAGACAAACGTTGGTGGTTTTGCATGAAGAATGACTGAAACTAATAATCAGTATAGTCAGTTGACAGATTGTTTCAGCTCTGGAGAGAGTTTTTCCTCTTTTGTTAAGTAAAAAGTAAGTGAAACTGTTTTCTATAATGTAACTCAAAGTAAGGTTCCGCGTGGAAGCCAAACCCAGGCATAGTGGAATTTCATTTTGATTTATTTGTTTTTTTGACAGTGACAGTGCTCTTTAATCAACAGCCAACTAACAGTAAATGAGCCAGAGTTAGCTCAATAGGCTAATTCCTATCTGTTGTTCCTGGGCAATTAGTAAAATGGCAATCTGGGAAAGTCTTTGTGACACAGACATAATTATATAAACAATTCATACGTCAAAATGTTGTCAAAGTGCATCAATAGAGAAATAAACTAATAAATCTGTCGTTTCTATTGCTTTATTGTGTATATTTGTTTTACTTTACTTTTGAACCTGGCATCTTATTTATCTATTTGTTGTTTGTCTTTAGTTGACGCAATCATGAACATCTTGAATAAGCCTCCGAACGGCATTGGTGGCATCCACTCCAACTTCCCCCAGATCACTGACCTCTCCCAGGTGACCAGGGAAACTGTCCCGGGCAGCGGAGACATCGAGTCTCCTGTCAACCTCCCTCCCACTGTCAGCTTTATCAATGGAAAACATGAGGTACCTTCCACACAGTGGAGTATATAATTAAGCAGATAATTCTGCATTAATCTGGTTTCTCTAATTTGTGTACTTATGTCCATCATTTCTTCCTCACTTGTTTTTATTGTAGCTACCCATGCTCTCCACTGCAGAGCTGAAACTGAATTCATTACTTGTGAAGAGCAGCTAAAACGTTGACATAGTGATATTCCTTTAGTGGAAGATTTAAGTGATTATCAGCTGAGATTAATCATGCACTCATTTCTGCTGATAGCCCATAAACACAGCATTACACAACCCTTGGTAATGTTATGCTAGCTTACCTTTTAATAAATGTTGGTGTGGTTTGTTCCAGCTGTGTAGTTGCTTCTTCTTCTCTTGTTTTATGTGGGATTGTAGATTAATTTACTCCATACATGTGTGATTTTTGTCCTTCCAAGAGCCGGTAACACTGGCTGACGTTACTGACAGAGATACGACGAGAGCAACAGGTCAAACAGCTAAATCAACCTCTGAAAAAGACATAGTTTTGTGGGGTGGGAGAAACTGTGTTGCTCATCAAGAGCGCCAGTGTTTGAGTCTTTGAGTTAGACTTTGCATCAAAACATTAATCATTTTTGGCCATTTGACCACATTATCATTCACCAGACTTTTCCAGACTCACATTTCCAGACTTCTCTGTCGGTTTTTCCGACCAAATTTGAGATCTGAGTACATATAGCTAGATGTTTATTATGTAAAGAAAGAAATTTTTAACATGCCTGTTGCATTCTGACTATGTATGCTATTATGTTACCAAATAATTACCAAAGTATTGTAGCTAGGTGCTGCAGCTCAGTCAAATAAATTTTGTGGTGCTCAGAGCTATTCACTATCTCTGCCCAGAGACAAAGTAAGCTAACGGCTGCTACCTATACTTGTAATATTTTTTCCGTAATAAACTCAATAAATAAAATTATTGTTCCCCCCATATTTTTTGTCTCTTTTATAAATTAGAACAAAAAATGAGTTGAAAACAGTTAAATAATGAAATGTTCACTGCCTCTGTGCAGCCTTGTTTATTCACTCTGTCCATGGAAACGACGATGAACGCAGCCAGAACAGGTTATGGCTTCTTTTTCTGATGACCACATCACCGCATAACTCATAAATGTTCTGACAAGCTTCATATTTGGTTTATCTGTGGTGGTGGGCAGTTATGTGAAGGCGTAAAGGCAGCTCTGCGAGGTAGCGTGCGTTCCAAGCCATACTTCTTGATTTGCTTTTCCGTGCAGGAATCCATGGTTTTTGTTTTCAAATTTAATTTTTTATTTAGTTTCAGGTGAGTGGTTGTGGAGAAAAAAAGGTGATCAACAAATATTTTTGTCCCATTTTTCCTTGATGACATTAGCACTGATAGGAATGACGTCTAAACCTACAAAAGTAAAACCAAAGTTGTAATAACCTGGAAAGATCCTTCAAAGACACTTCGCTGTTTCTCTTTTATTTACTCATCTGTCTACCTTTCTGATCCATACAGGTGACATTACAGCCAGAGGAGCCAAAGGAAGCTAGAGGAGATCAGTTTGAGACAGCCTCTCCTGTTCAGGGAGAAAAGAGCATGACTCCCTTTGACTACAGCAGCATAGACACCCACCCAGAGGAGACACCTACAGAGGAAACCAGTGAAATAGTCACTTATCCTAAAGGTGCATACCAAGATTTAGTTACAGGCTTGGGCACTGATGCCTACACAGAGCTTGATGTCTCTGCTGACATAGAGGAAGTAAAAACTCAAGAACCAGGTGATCAGACGGCAATAAGAACCACCGCGACCCCATATACTCTCCCTGCCTCGTCACCAGAACCCACCACACAATCAGGCCCAGTTGCCGCTGGCGTATCCCGGCCTGTGACAGATGGGGTCTCCACCTACGCGGACATGGAAGGCTCTGCAAGTCATGCCACTGATCACGGGGCCGGCAATACGCAGGAGGGCTCTGCAGACGATGCTCTGCCCACCCCATCTGCAGGCAGCCAGTCCGGTGTGATGACTGATGAGACGGAAATCGGATGGACGGAGCTTCCTACTCTTCTCCCAGACACACGGTCTCTGGAAACCACTGTACAAACCCAGACGGGTAACTTTGAAGGGTCTGCCTCTGGAGAAGACGAGGCTTCAGGACAAGACGTGTACCCACCCGAGATGCCAAGGTTTACCACCGTGCTACCACCCATTCATTCCACCCTTTACACCCAGCAGCCTCCGCCTGCAGTGGGTACCGAAGTCTCAGACGTTCCTTTAGTTTCACCTGCTGTTGACACAGTCACAGAAACAGGTTCAGGTGCAGAGCAGCTGCCCTTGGAGGGGGAGGTTTCTGGGGAACAGTGTGAGCTGGTTGACCTTCCTAGAGAGGTCACTGTCTTACCAGATGTGGCAGCTGTGACTTTTGTAGACTCACAAACCACACTCGTTACAGACGTAAAGGACATGACCTCAGAACCTAGCACACCAGAATACTCCACACGCACCCCTCTTGCTGACACAGACGATGAGGAACATCCCGCTTTTGTCACCGAGCCTTCACCCTCAACCCCTGAAGACCACGTCCCTCGCCACACCGAGCTTTACAGAGAGCAGTCCACAACCACCACCTCCACGCAGTTTGTAATCCAGCCGATACTTTCCTCTACTTCGCCCTTGTACACATTCGACTCCAGCCCCCACTCCATTCCCAAGTGGGCTCTGAGCCCTGACCCTGCTGCCACCACTCTACCACAGGACTACGACTATGAGAAACAGCTAGTCCCTCTTTTGGAGTCGCGCCCTCAGAGACCAGAAGAGACCGCGGCCACAGAGCGACCAGAGAGTGGCACTGGCACAGCTTATTCTGCGGAGGCCAGCACTGTGAATGTCAGAGGTACGTGGCCTTCATTGTTAGTGGTTTGTTCTTTAGCTACTTCTGTGGTGTAAGCATCCCAGCAGGTGATTTTACTGGTTTACCTCCCCTCTCCCTGGCTGAAACTATGCCAGTAAGTGAAATCACCAGCCGTAGTGTTTGAGGCGCAATCTCCGCCCCCCTTAGTTGATGTTGCTACACTTATCAATCTTTCTAATCTAAAATGACACATATACAGTTTACACTTATTATTTTTACCATCAAAAGCAGTTTCTTATTTCTTTACAGGAACCGTTGATTTTATCCTCCATGAATTACATGATATACTTAACGGACTGATGCGTCAGCTAACAGGTCCCAGGCAAAAAGTTAGCGTCCTCACCAATTGATGATCCATGTAGATGACATGGAAATAATGGAGCAGCATTGCTTTTGCATTGCAGGGTAGAGCTAGTTAGAAAATACAGGTGCATCTCAGACGATATAAGAATATCGTGGTAAAGATCATTGTGAGCACCAAAACTAGAGTGAGAGATTAAAGGCGCTCAGGAAACCTTGATGATTTAATCAGCTGATCAGAGCTCTTCTCAGGCTGACATTTCTGTATTATAATAAATCTTTATTCTAAAAGTCTTTTGATTTCCATGAGCTGTAAGCCGTACGGAAGAAAATAAACTTTTCCGTGATATTAAAATGTTTTTAGATGCACCTGTATATAAATGTGTACGTTTAACATATTGTAGCATCCTGGACCAGCTACCACACTTTTTATTTTTAATGGTGCCGTTAACTCGTGTGATAAATGGCTTTCCATTTGCATTGTGTCGTCTGTTTAGATCTGCTGCCATGCTCAGAAAGTGTGTGTCAGAACGGAGGCTCTTGCTACAAAAAAGGAGTGCAAAATATATGTGTGTGCGCACCTGGATACACTGGCCAGCACTGTGAAACAGGTACACGTGTATACACACAAGCATACGAGCCAAGTAACATATAACTAACCATATTGACCCCATACTGACAGATGGAAGATGTGGAATAATACAGGTTTGTGTGGTGTGTCTGCAGATGTTGATGAGTGCCAGTCTAACCCGTGTCTGAATGGAGCCACCTGTCTGGATGGAGTCAACTTCTTCACCTGTCTCTGCCTGCCCAGCTACGCAGGAGAGCTCTGCGAACAAGGTCAGCTGAGTAATGGCAAAGTGGCACTGTCATGCAGAAAATGCACAAAATCAAGGCAGTACTGCTTATTTTTGTAGTTTTTATATTGGACTGAGGGCATTGCTGAGAAGGGCTGGAGTTAATAAATAAAAGGAGCCGGTAAAAAATAAAAGGACAATGTCCAGTATAATGTTAGTGGAAGTCCATGGTATTGGTTGACAGTCTGAAAAAAATTAGCTTTTTTAAATTATGTATAACCAACACGTTATACCCTGATGAAAACTCTCTAAGGGCATTTTACAAATGCCACCTGCTGGAGGACAAAGCATGGCCTGTTATGCTTCAGACTTCTCAAATATTTACTTTTTAAAATCGTAATTTGAAAAAGAAAAAAGCCAAAAGGACCAAGACACGAGCAATCATACAATCAGACAGGTTGGAAACAAACCCAGAGTTTTTCCAGAATCTTGATCATCTCTGACCTGCTTGCAAAGACCAAGCTGCTGATCTACAAGGTAGTTATCTTGCCCCCAGAGGCCTGGACTAATTACAGAAAACATAGAAGAGTTCTGGAGTCCTACCACCAGATGCCTGAAAAAAATCTTGCCTATCAGCGTCATCAAACAACAACTGAGATATGGACAGGCCATGTAATATGAATGCATGACACACGCATTCCTAACCAAGACCTCTACTCAGAACTAACTGCTGGCCAATGAGCACCTGGAGGTCAGAAAAAGCACTTCAAGGACAGCGTCCCATGAAGACAATCTCCGACAGGCTGCCAGAGTCAAGCAGCAGCAAAAAAAAAACTCTCTTCCAGCACCTCAGCGCCCACACTGCAAGAAAGAACTTTGTGATTCCAGAATTGGCCTCTTCAGCCATTTGAAGACCCAACATAAGGACCCACCAATGATGACCATTTCACTCGACTTTGAGTGATCGCAGGGGAAACTGTGACGGACGTTTGAGTAACAATTTCGCTCCTCACCTTCGTTTTCCCTTCCAAATATGTTAGTCAAACGTGGAGTTTGGTTTCCAACCTGTCTGATCGTGTTTCTTCTTTTCTGTGTTATAACTACTGACAGGTAATGATGGCCAAAGCTACAAAAAAATAGAGGAATGAAAAAAATATATGTCCAGCAAATGAATATAACAGCTACCGGTGCACACATGCACACAGGTGGATACAGCATGTCATCTGTCTTTGGTGCTCGTCCATCCTCCAGCACTGGGTGTTGGCTCTTCAGCAGATTAGTTCCAGCTTCTGGTTCAATATTTCTGCCATTACTTAGCAACTAATCGAGGTTCAGGCACACTAACAGACTCCAAGGATTAACATTTTCCATGAATTTTGACCAGCTTTCAGAGAGTTTGAGCCGTCTCTCCCAGTATTCTTTGAGCAAAAGTATGATGTTACATTTAAAAAATTTAAATGATAAGGCCACTTTTTTTAATAGTGAGGTCGTCTTGTGTGCATGTGTTCACTCGCACAGACTTCACTTGGTTAAACACTTGAAATGACGTTTTACAAGCAGGTAACGTTAAAGCCACATTGAGCACACAGGGTGCAGATGTTGATTTCGGTTGTTTGAGTTGTTTGATAGGATGCATCTTAACAAGCAAGCGGATCACCTGCTGCAGTGAAAAATACAGAAAAAAATGGATTATATCCATAACAATTATATATTATATATATATACATATATTTTAACAGATACTAAATGTAAATGCTATGAGAAGAGAGAGAACTCTATAACACTCTGACTTATTACATGACAGTATGTATGTATGTATGTGCAAACAAAATATTAAATTATCTGTCAGAATGCAAAAGTAAGTAATAAAACAATATTAAATGTAGAAAGCAGAATAAAATAGAAATACTCAATATAGTACGAGCACTTCAAAATTGGTTACTTTCCACCACTGCTTAGTAAAGCTATTACCAGTTTATAGATTTATTGGAGACCCAAACAAAACCTACATGAGACAGTCATCTTTGCTGATCAATCTTTAACAAAGACAACTTGACATATATTAAAATAGAAATACTTAAGAGTAAAATACAAATAATAAATGTTATTTCCAAACTGGTCAGCCTTACTTTACTACTTTCACTTCTCTTTTCAGTCCTTGGTCGAACGTGGAGTGAATAGAAAGTGGAAATCCCCAAACTCAAATTCCCAGTCTGCTGGCTGCATCCATGTGCATCCATGTAATGCAGGATGTACGCAGTGTGCACAACATAATGTAGAAACTTAGATGTGAATTAGTGACTAAAGCGCTGTGGATCTGATCCATCCTGATACACGCAGCAGCAGAGAGAGAACCACAGCTGTCCCCTCTTAGATTCTGCCAGTGGAAAGACAGAGCAAAATCAGATAATTGCTTTATTGTTTTGCCAGAAAGATTTTGCAGCTGTGTGGCGGTGAATCAGCGCTGCTAAATACTGCCTCCGACTTAGTCAAGCTCGCCCTCATATTCTGTATGAAGCTGTGTGTTCAGTCTGGCCTTCTGTACTCAACTAATTCTGTTCTGCTATTTTCAAACTGCCAAAAGGAGAGTCATGAATTCAAGCTCTGCATTTATTAGTGGGCCTGGAGACCTCACCTGACCCTCCAGGTGGTCGCACAATGGAGTTATTAAGGGGCGGGTTGACTATAGCTAATACCCCGAAGCCTTGACAGCAACTTTCCATCATGGCTCTATTGGCACACGCATTATACTGAAGGCACTGATACAAAACATCCATTGTTTCTTGAGCCTGACAAAGCAGAGAGCTGATTATGTGGCTTAAAGTCATTGTATAGCAAACTAAAAGTGTGTTGAACATTAACTCTGGGTTTTAGCGTCTGTGTGTTTGTGTGTTTTTGACCGGCAAACAACAGGAGGACAGTCGCGGGGATTAATGAAGTCCAACTGTGTGTTACTCAGCTCATTCCGTGAGGGGCCTTTGTTCCCCAGCTGGACCTCCACACTCTCTCTCTCACTCAACAACTGAGTTAGATGAGAAATAAACAAATGAAAGTTGTTGAGCAGCTGCAAAAGGTTCATTGTTACAATGACACGGGTCCAGATCAACTGGCTGTGGGCAACGTTATGGATATAATCCAGTTAAAGCTATACAGTGTAAAAGATTGCTGCAGACTGGCTTGTTGTACAGACTATGAGCTGTACTATAAAGCATGGACTGCTTGGATGACACACTTTACATAAGTGTAACTGAAAACTATCAAAGGCTCCTCCTACACTTGAACATGTCAGAGGAATGTGTTCACACTTGCCGCTCGCTTGTTTCAGTTCTAAACTTTGGCTTGTTCACTGCGGCTCCTTTGGGCCGGTGTGAAAGCTGTGTCTCTGTTTACATTCACATTTATTCATTTGGCAGACGCTTCCAAAACGACGTAGAAATGAGGTATAAGCCACAGTGGATCAACGAGAAGCTATATTTGATGGATAAAGTACCATATGTTTGTGTGTTTTTTTGTTTGTGTCTAGTAAACCTCCTTTGGTGTGTAACACTTGGATAAAAGCATGCATGCAAAGGACCTATACTTAAGTATAATACTGTGCTGTTAACTGCACAACAGCATCAGACAGTTAGTATTAGTGCAGAATGATACAACAAATTCTACACATATACAAACAGTCTAAACAGAAAGTACTCAATGTCATACATAACAAATATCATAAACAATGTTTTATGGTGTTTTTACAGCTGGATCATTTTTCTTTTTGACACTGTATTTTTCCCTCTTTGCAGACACTGAGGTTTGTGGATTTGGGTGGCAGAAGTTTCAGTCTCACTGCTATAAGTACTTCACACACCGCCGCACCTGGGACGCTGCTGAGCGGGAGTGTCGGCTGCACGGCGCCCACCTGGCCAGCATCCTGTCACAGGAGGAGCAAATCTTTGTCAATCGTAAGTCCATGATGTGCCGTCTGAGCCTCGTCTCTTGCTGTGATGATGTAGGCTTAAGTGTTGCATCATACTGAGTCAGTCCTCTGACAACAGCGCACTACCTTCCCCCCGGCCTCTAATCCCCCTGTTTAACTCATCCAATGCATCTGCTTTACTTTAAAGGAAAGTTTTCAGCAGCAGAGCTCTGCAGAAATTTTTGGCTTTTGGTTGGTCGAGGACTTTGGTCCAGACTGAAATATCTCAACAACTATTGCATGGATTGTCATGACATTTCGTACTGACATTCATGTTCCCCAGATGATGTACCCGTCATTTGACCTTTCCTCTAGCGCCACCAAGAAGTTGACTTTTGTTGTTTCGAGTGAAACATCTCAGCAGCTGTGTGTGGTTCAGACCTTCATGTTCCCCTCAGGATAAACTGTAATAACTTTGATGATCCTCTGACTTTTCATCTAGCGGCATCAGCAGGTCAACATGTTAATTTGTTCAACACTTTGCTTTATGACCAATACATGCAGAACTGATGAGATTCCCATCAGCCTCAGCTATACGTTGTGTGCTTGTTCCATTTAGCAAAATATAGCATGCTAACATGCTAAACTAAAATGATGAATATTGTTTATATTTAAATTAAATATGGAAGATTATACCTGCTAAACATGAGCATTTATCTCAGATCACCACTGTGTTTTAGGGACAGCTTTCAAGGAGCCACTAGCATGGCTTTTAAAAGCTAAGAGGCCAAAACTCCCAATCTAAGACCCAGGTAGTTAAATATTAAGATTACTTTTTGTGCCTTCCATTGATCAACTAAACTCTAGAAGTTAGCATATGTCTATGTTTAAAGAAACTGTTTTATAGTTAAGTGCACTCTAATCTTATTATGAGTGTTAGTAAGATAAAATAAAGTTGTTTAAACGGAGAGTTTCCATTGACGACTCAGTTTATTGGGGAAGCTGCTGAGCTGAATTGGATTTGTGCCACTCACAAAAGCAGCTCAGCCTGAACGTTTCCTCGGCGTCCTGCTCTCTCTGTATGTTCACACTCTTAATTATTCACCACTCGTCCTTCTGCCACACACATGTCCAAACCACAAACTTGTAAATCAGTGTATCAACACTCCATCTTCTACTCTGTCTCTCTAATTCCTCTCCAGACCTTTATCATAGTAACAGCCCTGATCATGCAATTCCCTTTCATCCATTAACCAGCTGCTTTCTCGCCGCTGAATGAGTTACATGACCTCGGACTCAAAGTGAGATTCTGATGTGTTCTGCGTCTGCAGGTCTGGGCAGTGACTACCAGTGGCTCGGCCTGAACGACAAGATGTTTGAGAGAGACTTCAGATGGACTGACGGCAAGCCAATGGTAAGACAATTTAATACGAGTCTGTGAAGAGGTAATAAAAACTAAGGACAAATAACTGGAAAATGGAATCAAATAAAAAGACAATCAAAATACTCCTTTTTTTTTTCTTCTTTTTTTTTTCACTCGATCACTCACTACCCTAGACCAATTTTTGTCTTTTTTGCGGCGGACAAGGGATCTTTATTAAGTAAATAAGTGAATAAAGTTTATTTAATCACCTTTCGCAGAAGTAATATATTAGAAATTAGACCATCATTCAGAGGGAGATAGCAGGTCAGCAGAACACAGAAGTGGTATACATCATCAGAAAGCTGGGGAACGGAACATTTGTTGCAGCTCAACACAGATTTCTGTAGTCATAAAGCTGTAATAAAGATAGTGTTTGGGCCTGTGCTTAATTCAGTGTTTAAAGTTTAGTGGAAAAGGACTTGGAACATTATGATGGAAGAACATGATGGCCATTCCCAATCTCAATCAGGGGTGGACTGGTAATCTGGCACACCGGGCAAATGCCGGTGGGCTGACGCATTTTTGGGGCCTGTGTAATGTAAATTATTTATTTAACTGCTTTAAAAAATGGGCCAATGACCGGCCCAGAGAGCACGGACAGTGGCTCATTGGGTAATGTTCTATACTGACACTGAGCTGCCCTCTGAAAAAAAGTGTTCAGACGGAGGCCGCCACATGCATGAAAATATGTGTTTGCTACAGAGGCTGCAGTTGCTTCAACATCAGCCGCGGTACCCGACATAGTGCAGGCACAGCCACTTGAAGGAGAGCTGTGGCCGCTGCCAGGCAGAGGAGGAGGCGTGTGTTAGCGGAGCGTGCAGGTGGAGCAGTAAGCAGGAAGTAGCTCAACCTGTAGGGACCTGTTTGAAATGGCAGATGTTGTCCCCATCACTTTTTGAAAGCATTTGTTAAAAATGTTCTTAAAAAAAAACACTTGCACCAAAAAATGTTAAATAACAAATGAAAATGCTATAAGAAAGGTTTATTTGCTAAATAATAATAAGCTACTGATTACTGCGTTATATTCTATTATATTTTTATATTCTGAATTGGCACCTGCCACCTGAATTTCTTGTTTCCCTCATAAATTGGTGCAGAAAATGTCTCCAGAATGCAGGAAATTAAGTATTTCATGCTAAAATCTTCTGGCCCCCAATCGTATATTTTCTCAATAAATATTTTTTCTAAATAGTGTTAAAATATACTCTTGTCTTGTTCCCATGACCCCATCTTGTGCAATGTCAAGCGTTGTGGTCACACCCCTAATCTGAGACCTTTAATATCACCACCACTTTTCAACACAAAGTGAAGCCCTTGGTAGGGTGTGCGTCATGCTGTAGTGACAAAGATGATGATTACTTCAATTAAGGTCAATAATTGTAACATAATCATAACGCTATAATAAAAGTGAGACTTTTACCTGCTGCTGGTAATCTACCATAGCCATAGTTTCCTAATGCAGTCTTAACTTTGGCTAACTGTCCTAATGGCTGAGGTTAGGTTTTGTCAGCATTGCGCTGCTGTGAAAATGACTTGTAGGCTGCTTGTACGTGAGGATGAGTTGTGTACTCCATGTCCACCTGTGATCACCATGGAGTCAGTAAATGAGTGTGAATCATTACACTGATTCACTCACACTAGTACACTTATCCAAAGCACATACCACTCAGCTGGTTTGGAGGAATAATACAGTAGGTACAGATGTTATATGGAAGCCTGGTGTATTGGTGAGGGGTGTCTGACCGATTTTGGTGGGCCGCCTGGGCCAAAAATGCCATGGCTGATTTTTTTTGTCCCAGTCCAGCCCTCATCTCAATTATGTCTCATAAGTTTTTGCAGCAATTTTTAGGTTCACACCATTTGTTGCACAGGTTTGGTGCACATTAAGACACCAGAACACAGTGGAAGAATTCATGCTGTAATTTGGTATCATGTTTTTTACTTTTGAGTTACTTTCATTGCTATTTAATGGGCGCATTTTTCAGATGTTCCTGGTGGGTTCTAGTAATGTGCAGATCGTAGTTTCATCCGCGGTTCAGGTACATTTATTGATTATTTAAATCTCAGGATGCACTGACAGCAGCGTCTCTGATCATGAAAGGAAATCGTCAAAAGAAAACAAATATTGAAAAATGTTTATGCATGATCAGTGATCCATATTGTTAATATTTTAGAGATCCCCTAAAATTTCACAAATCATGTTTTCAGGGGAGCTACCGTCTTATTAAGAGGAGCCGAGCTCCTGCCTACAATCTCAACCATCGAATCCCAGCAACAGGACGTTGCTCTTTATCAAGAGATTTTTTCCGGTAGTGGTGTATTATTAAAAATACAAAACACCACTTAATTTTGGGTTAAAATGTGTTGTATCGTACTTTACTGAGATTGTAGCAGGTATAATATTGCCAAAATCTTATTAGTAATGCATTACAGCAGCGATTCCCAAAGTGTGAGCCACCTCTAGGGGAGCGCAACAGGGAAAATTTAATGATGGTGTAGTTTCCTTGGTGGTGTCCTTTTGAAATTTAATTAAAAACATTATTATTAATGAACTGAAGAAGTCCTTTGGATGAGGGACGAAACGTCTTCTAGTATCTTCAACCAAGTCTATTTGCCCTTGACTTTAACCTTCGTTGAATTATTATTAATAGTTAATACATAACACAGGAAATGGCGACTCACACACCTCTTTCCCTCTCTCTCTCCCTCCCTCTCCTCTTCCTCTCTGGCTGAGCCACCCGCGCTGTACTTAAAAACCCTCACATGGATCCTCTTTTAGTCCATGTTATCTGTTTATGAGACTCTACACAGGATGCGATTTGTGAGAAAACAGAGGGAGGGGGGTGTTTGGAAAGGGTTTTCTGTTTTTTTATTTTGTCATAAACATACCCCCCCACCTCTCTCCGCATGGTTCGGCACGCAGGTCAACTGTGGATTGATTGCAAAGTTTAACCATCACAGTCTGAGAAAAAGTTTTACTGCCACTGTTAGATTTTAAAGTAAGTAAATATATACCGTTGCATCACAATGCAGAGCTGCAGTGACAAGAAGACAGATGCGTGCTATGTTTAAGCGCAGTGAGTGGGTAAGAGGAGAGTGACTTTCAAGAGTGTCACTGAGTTGAGACCTTGTAGCTGTGACTTCGGGCGTGTTCACTGGTGTAACAGGGACACTGCGCTGCTTGTCATCATCGAAGCAGATAATCAGATTTTGATGTTTATTGTACCTTCAGTAATATCGGCTTCCTTCTCTTCAACACACAGCTCTGCTGCACACTGGAGCAAAGTGTTAATTCGCCACTTGTAACCAATCAGGGCCATTGAGCAAATATACAACTAATAAATAAATAAATAAGTAAAAAAAAAAAAAAAAACATAAATAGCAATTGTAAGTTACTTTGGATAAAAGCATCAGCTAAATGAATAAATGTAATGTACTGTATTTGCGTTACTTTTGCATCACATGTCTCCCAAAATTGTTTACAAAAGCAACATAATTGCAGTAATAAATAAATAAATAACAGGCTACTATTCAGTGAACCTCCTTACAGCCTCTAACAGCACCAAGGGGACACTACCAAACATGTTGATTGGATCATCATAACGACACACAAGGAGGCGGGTTACAAGCACGCATGACAGCTCAGTCTGAGTTTGTTCCATTTTACACACAGTAAACTTCTGTTTCACAGTAAACTTCTTCTGTTGTTTAGTTGAAACAAACCAGAAACATAAAACCCTTCCTGTGTGTGTCGCAGGCGATGCATTGCTCCGTCTCCTGACCAATGACCATGTTTCTTAGTCACGGTGACACATTCTCTCACACACTGTGCGTCTGCTGGGAACACTCAGCTGTTGCAGCATGTGAGCTGAGTTACGCAGTGAAAACGGGGCCTGATGAGAGCAGAGTGCCTGAAATCTGATGCTGTTTTAATGTGTTATCATTCAAAATAGAGGCACGCCCTCACAGGGGTGGAATCTGTCCAGAGCCTGACTTTGCACACACGTCAGTAGATGCACGATAGCGTGCATGCAGACCATGTCTTGATTTTCTTCCGGTCTTGTTTTTAAACAAACTGAAGCAGCTTATCTGTGGATTTCCTCCCGCATGTAAGCTGCCGAAAGCTTCAGGTTTGTTGAGGCCTGTGGCGTTGGTTGTCCCAGCAGCACCACTGTCTGCTCTCTCTGTGAATTACATCCACTCACATGTGTTGAAAAAGCACCATCTCCTCAGCGGGACAGCTAGTGGTATATGGTTGATATAATGCAGTAGCAACACAGTTTTGATGCACAATCGGGAAGTTCCTTGTAAGTAATACTGAACTCCGTGTTTATTAGGACGTTTAGTGGGTGTTTATATAAAGTAAAATAATGAAAACGTGTGTTCTGACAGCAATACGAACACTGGAGGCCGAACCAGCCCGACAGCTTCTTCCAGTCAGGAGAGGACTGCGTGGTGATGATCTGGCATGAGGATGGACAGTGGAACGACGTGCCCTGCAACTATCACCTGACTTTCACCTGCAAAAAGGGAACAGGTACGCTCACATGGAACCACACACACACACACACACAGACGCACACTACATGTGAAGTAATATAAATGATACGACTCAGCTTGTAAAACAAACACCTTGTGTAAAGTCTTCTGTAGCTCTGAAGGAGAAAATAACGCCACATCATTTGAGGTGTCTCAGCTGGGCCTCATGTGCATTTACCAGACCGCTTTTGTGTTGCATTGTGGGAATTGTAGGATCCAGTGTTTTGAGAGCTTGGCTTATACATCTTGGCCTCTGCTGCTTCCATATTGACCATTCTGTTTTAAATCTTTCTCTTCCCCGATTTGTACAATTCTAAGATGCTGATACTCCATATTTAAATATATAAACTGCATTTGACCTCACTGTTAACCATTTTCCAAAATACATGTTTAGTTCTTAGATTAATTTCCTCGTCTTCGTGGCAGCCCTATGTTTTCAGTCAACGCCAATACATTTTACAACTTTAACACAGAGAGCGTTTTGTGTCACCAAGTGACAAATCCCAAATTATACTTTTCCTAATATGTGTGCCTGCATGGGTCAGTGTGAAGAGACAAATGTAGTATTAACAGAACTGTTAAAGCAACACCGACTGTTGTTTAGACTGTAGTCATATTTTCACAATTTTTGCTTGTATTTATTTTCAACTTTGCTCTCATCTTCACAAAGATTTTCAACAGTCTACTAACAATTGTAAGGTGTTAGATTGTCCTTGAACACACCATAAAGAGATTTTGAACATGGTGCCCTTTTACAGCTGCATTGCATTAAGCTGATGATACACAGGGCAACTAGGCCCGCCAGTGAGTTCATTCAGACCAAATATAACCATTGTGGCCGAGCTTATTTCAGTCCTGCCACAGATACTGGATTTATTGTGTGTGCTGTCGGGATGTAAAGAGAATTTTAACAAACAGAACAAAAATTACGTTTCCTACCCCAACTTTAATAAGCTGAAACACACCAAACAATCAATATAGTCCTTAATTACATTTATACATTTTGAAGTTGCAGTAATCAATATTTGTAGAGTAACAACAGATCAAATGAATATGTGCAATGTGAGGTGTTTAGCATCTTCCAGCCAGGTCATTGTTTTGGTTTTAGGGCCTGAAACTTGGACACAGACACAGTCAGAAATGAGCTGGTGAACATAAATAAATAATAAGTAATTTAGCTGACGCTTTTATCCAAAGCGACTACAGTTGCTATATGTCAGAGACCAGAAGCATGTGTCTTATCCACTGTCCCACCGCCGTATTTTTTTATTACTAAAGTAGAAAAGAGCTGAAAAGCTTCATTTAGTTAGTGGGTTAGTGATTAACTGGTGAACACAGTGGAGCATTTTAGCAGCTAAAGAGCCAGATATTTCCCTCAGCAGCTGGTGGAGACCAAACACAGAGCTAACAGAGAGAAAATACTGGACTTATGTTCACATTCACACTCACATATGCAACCGTTTGCTAACAAGATCACTGTAACAACTCTAGAAGGTGATGCAATGTTAAAGATAAGGTAATATTAAGTTTAAGCATCACACTGTGAAATCTTTCTGTTTCCTACCTTCAGTGTCGTGCGGGCAACCCCCTGTGTTGAAAAATACTCGCGTGTTCGGAGCCACGAAGCCTCGCTACGAGATCAATTCCCTGCTCCGTTATCACTGTAAACAGGGATTCATCCAGAGACACCCCCCCACTATACGCTGCCGGGCCAATGGCCAATGGGACACACCCAGAGTCACGTGCACAAACCGTGAGTAATGTTGATTGAGGAACTTTGGTTCAGAATCACAAGGCTGTACAGCGTTTCCAAATGTTTTCACTTTTAACACCCTTTTCCGTCTGTCTTCTCAGCCGCAACCTACCACAAGTCATTTGCTCTCCGGCATCGCATCAGCCAGAATAACGGGCAACTGAACTGGCACCATAACCACCACATCCATCACACCAAGACTCATCAGAAGTACAATCAAAACCAAGAGCAAAAACAAAGTTACAGAGTCTTTCAGAGCTTCTTGAACCCTCTCCAAGTCCAGGAGCGGCTGAGGGAGAAGAGGCAACCGCGGGTCCAAACACAGCACGAGCATGAGATGAGACACTGATTGGGTTTGTGGTTTTGTAATTCAGCTTAGCAGCAGGCTGGCCACGTCGGTCCAGAGGCATCGATAGACAGAGAGACTCACCAAACTGTCTATCTATGGCTCTGGAAAGGACACGGGAGATGTTTCGCCAGGGCAAAAACACTCCAGGATCTGAACCATAACAGAATCATAACTTAGTATCATTGTAAAGTTAGCTCACTGATTGTATCAAGTCACAATGCTCTAAACACGAAGACCGGTGCCCTGATGGCTTCACCGGGTGCTTCTCCTAACAGTAAAACACAACACGAGTGCTCTGAGTCATCAGCTCTCGTGTTCCCTTTCTCTTATGTCCATGACCTGACAGAGGTTCTGATAACACAGTCTGTCCAGCCAGCGAAATCGTATGTTAAAGCTGCCCAGTGGAGCGTCTCTGTAAACACGTTATGTTTACATTTCTCACCATCACTTCATATCCTTGAGGTCTCTTAACTTTGTTGAAAGCATTTCCTTTGCAACGTCTGGTAGTCGAGATAGTGAGTGAAACTGGTAGCAAGGTTTCTATTATTCCAGTGTTATCTTATAGACCACAAAGCCTGACTGACTGTTGTTTAATGATAAATGTTGGAATGGAAACATTTCAGTAGGAATTGTTTATTTAAAATGACATTGTTGTTTTTTTTACGACAGTGGCATTGAGCTGTGCCGTGTAGATTATCAGAAATCTCTCTGACAGATGCTCCAAATAGGGATGAAATGGTATGAAAATTTCATATCACGATTATAGTGGCCAAAATGATCACGGTTATCAGTATTATCACGGTATTGTAAAAATGTGCCGAAAAAGATTAAAATGTAGTGATATACACACTGAAACCATTTCAACAGATTTTATATTGAAAACTACGAATACAATTGCCATTTTGTTTGCATAAAAAATAAAATAACAGCAAATACCTTTTGGAAACATATGAAAATCATCTTAGTGTTATCAAGATTTTACACCAAATGTAACACCAAAATGTGTGACCTATCAGATTCTGTGACTACACCCAAACGACGATGCTTTCCTAAACTCAACCAAGTACTTTTGGTGCCTAAACCCAACCAAACTGCAACCGCTTCACATCGTCAACAAAGTCTCTGGTGCTTAACTTCCCATTTGGGTCGCAGAATCTGATAGGTCACACATTTTGGTGTCACCGGCACACAGTAGCAAGCATATTATCATATGTAGCGCTGTACTAATTGGAGGATACATCAAAAAGCCAATAATACTAAACAAATAAGCAGCAGTCAATACAGAGTCTAATTCTAGTTGAACATGTTCGCGGGTCGCGGCCTCAACCTGTTAGTTCAAAACTGCGGCGGCTGATGGTGAAGTGCAGCCATCCTGTCAGTCATGCGGTGTGCAGCGTAGTTCATTAGGAAAGTATGTTCATTTAAGTCTGTTTATCTTTTGAATTTAAATAATAGTAGGTACTATTTATAATGAAAAATATAATAGTTGTTAATAAATGAATTAGTGACCCCCACAGATGCAGGATTTTACTGCTTCCTTTGGAGCTCAGACCTCCTTATGGTAGCTGAGCTCCCACTGGCTCCCACGTAACTCGAACCCTGGTACCTGCAATGAGCCCGAAAACTGATATAAATACAGAGGAATCTGTGACGTTTCTAGATATGCTGATTGGTTGAACTGCATAACGTGTTATCATGTTCAGTGGACGAATAGACTCTGCCGACGCACACAGAAACAGAACAACGTGAGGCGTTTTTATATACAGTCTATGGTTTTTACAAGAGCAGCTATAACACGGAGAGCTTCAGTTTACGCGCTGTTAGCAAGTCAGAGAGACAAACCAAAGCTAAAAGTTAACTCACCCTGGTTTCACTATAAGGTCATTTTCTTCAACCAAGTTTCCCTCAGCGCTCTCATAAAAACTAAAATACGACTGGACTTCAGAGTGACTGAAAAATCTCCGCAGCGTTGTCTTCTGCCATGCTGTCATTGACCCAAACAAACCCACGTTGCATTCTGCGCATGCACACCTGCTTCTGGGAGGCGCTGGACAGTGTTTGCCGTGAGATTAAAACAGCACAGTTAACCGTGCCCGGTTACCATGGTAATTAAAATGTGTACGGTAATAATAACCGTAAACCGGTAATTGTTTCATCCCTAGCACCAAACAGAGCTGGTGGAACCCACACATAAAATACTAGAGCTGTAATACAGAAACTGGAAAGTAATTTATACTGGGTCCTTTAATTTGGTTTTCAAACTATGGAAGATATGTTTGCATGAATATTTGTGAACTCTTTGTTTCTCTCTTACTCAATCTGAATCAACTCTGAATCACAGAGATAAGTTTCTGTTCTGTTAAAATCAAAAAAGATGAATGATTTAGAAACAAAGCAACAATCTGTGGAGAGTTTTACGCTTTCTTTAAGGACGGTTGTGTTATTTTACTCCTCACGATTACCTTCTTACACCGACTGTACTCGGCATCCGGGCTGCCCTCCGGCTCAGTCGGAGCTTCAGGAGTGTCTGTTCCTCAGCAGCCACATTTAAAACATAGTTTAGACTTGTTTTGCAGACATTTTGCATGTTTTACAAGCATAAATACACGTTTGCAGCTCATTAGATGGTAACAGATGCTTCGTGGCTGTAGTTGAACAACCTTTTGTTGCTTCAAACCTTCTCTGTGATCACTCAGTCTAAATGACAGTTTAAGACACACGGTCAATCTCACAGCTCAGCTGCTGGTTTTTTTCTTTATTATTGTCGTGTTCATACTTACCTGACAACAGAAACAGAAAAATATGTAAATGAGAATAACTATATGGTGGATTTGGCTGAATATAAGCACAGTGTGGTGATCACAGCGAGCAGGAGGTTAAGCAGGTTGTCTCCCTCTCTCTCGCCCTCTCTCTCTCTCGCTTAATATCAAAAAGAGAAAAGTGTTGCTGTATTTGTGAAGACAAAGTCAGCAACAAAAAAATGAAATGCAATAAAAATACATTTTAAGTCAATTACTAATACATGCAGGCATTTACAAACATCAGCTGCAAAAATAGATCAGAACGTAATATTATAAACATAAAGAGCATGAATTCATCACTTTAAATTATTATTATCACACAGCATTTTCAGTTTGTGCTGCTTTGTTTTGTCTCCTTTTTTTTACTGGCTGTTTTCCCATGTATCCCGTGTAATGAAGGTTTTTCTACAAGATGTTTTAGTTGAGAAAAAGGGTTTTTTAAAGGGAGCGAGGAGATTTTAAAGAGCAGCACACACAGAGCTGGAGAGGAGATTATTATGAATGTGTGTGTGCTGTGGCTATTAATCACAGGATATAAAGAATATAGATACTATATGAAGCCATATGAATCTAACTTATTGTATACTTTAAAACTATGAATGGACTGTGATGTTAAATAAAGGTCATTGGAACTGAAGTGATTCTGTTAATGATGACTTCCTTGCTGTTTACAGATTCTGTCAACGTTGGCTTTTTGAGCTGTTGCTGCTTTATATTGTGCTGTGACTCAAAATCAACCCAATGAATTCACCACCAAAATGCTCCTGATCATTTTAAACCTTTTCTACAACACTGAGCTGAGTTATAAACGTGTTCTCAGCTGGAAGTTAAACAGATCTGGAATCTGTGTTTTTAATCCAACAAATAAGGGAATGTGAAAAAATGTTCTAAAAGACAACTTCAACATGCTACGCGAGATATTTTTATGTGATCCTTATGCGTTTTACCTTCTCCTCTTCATGATCTTCATATGTTTTCCTTTTTATATATTGTTTGTCAATGTATATGCATTTTTAATAAGATTTTCTACTCCATGTGGTTAATGGGGCTTCACAGAATCTGTGGCAAAAGAGCTTATTTTTATGTAATAATTGTTTCTTTTTCCATTTGAGTTGCTGAAAAAAATGTCCGTCATGCTGGTTTCAGTGTCATTGTCAACTTTGTGTGCAATAATATTATAACGCAACCTGTGTTGTTTGTGTAGTTTTATTTTATACCACCATATTTAAAGGATAAGTCTAGTCTATATTTTTCGTATTGTCAAACCACTTGTACTTTCTGACTTCCTGTCCTCTCAGCTCTTATTGGTTCTTACAGAATATGTACAATTTTAAATCTGCACAATTTCAAAACAGAGTCAGACTGAAGAACACCAATCACTGATACTATCCAAAGCTTCAAAGCCACTATACTTCTGAACGAGCTTCATAAGTTTGACTTTAAGTCCATAAACATTATGCCCAAGTGATATGTAAAGTCACAGTGAGATAATAAGATACGAGAATAACTGAGAAATGTGTACAATGTACACTAGGAATAGAATATCATAACTAGTGGAACATTTCAACCTGATACCAAGTAATACAAGATATAAAAAGAGGACATATATGTACCTTGTTTCATGTCAGAAAAAAATGTTTATTATGTAGGCTATTTTGGCCAACACAGTGACAGGTATTTCATAATAATATGTGCATTTACTGCAGTATTTCTAAATGATAGTATTCTAGATTGGAAACGTTTACTGTGCACACATGAGATTAAAACCATACATCAGTGAGGTGTTTTCTTTCAGTACAAAGTAGTTAGTTAGCATGTAGCTGTTAAAGATCCGGTGGATCTATTGACAGAAACTAAATTTAATATCCATAACTATGTTTTTAGTGGTGTATAAAGACCTTACATAATGACCTACGTATACTAATTTTATCTACATACACCGCGGGTCCTCTTACATGAAAGTCACCATGTTGTGCCACCATCTTCCTACAGTGGCCCAAACGGACAAAATACTTTACAGAGCGTGTTTAGTCACTACTAATATGTACGAAGAAGAAGTAACAAAAGAAGACAAATCTGGACAAATGGAGGACTACACATCAGAAATGGAGACTTGATTTTGAGACTCGGACTCGAGTCCAACTTAAGTGGCACACACAGTGACTTCAGACTCGACTTGAGACTCATCCTTAAAAGATTTCAGACTCGACTTGAGACTCGAGGCGCGGGACTCGTGAACAATGTTTATTTTTTAGTAAACGTCTTATGAGCTTGCCGTCATTCCCTCCCTCCGTTACCTATAACCTGCATACGTAACACGTAGCATCTGCTGCGCGCGGCCAAACGTGAGAGAGGACAACAAACAGTGGCAGCTGCTCCGCCATTCATCATAAACTTAAAAAAACAAGACCCAAACAAAGATACGCTTGCTTTAGCTACGACCTACAGGAGGTTAACTCCAACTGTCGTTCATTATGAAAAGATGAATGAGCGTTTGTTTACTTTCCAAATTTGTGGTAGTCGAGCTGGCTGCCATCACTTCAGTTATTACTGTTGGCTAGAAAGAGGTTACAGGTTTATTGTTGATCATGTAAAGATACAGTTTTATTTAGTTATAACATTACGTTGGGATGTGTTGACTTACAGTAGTTTAAGCTGTCATTGATGCACTGCATATTGCATGGTTGTGCTCTGTAAGTTAAAAACAGGTTACAGCTTTATTGTTGACTACGTAACTTTACAGTTTTATTTAGTTAACATTAGACTGGGTTTAAGAGTCTGGGGAGTGTGTTGGCTTACAGTATTTAATAAGTCGTAGAAGTATTTAATAATTGCACATTACATGGTTGTGCTCTGTAAATGAAAAACAGGTTACAGTTACAGTGTTCCTTATAGCCATGCAGTTTTATAAGCAACCTGGATTGAACGCAGCAGGTGATACAACATTCATAATAACCACGAGAGACTTGACTTGGACTCTTGCTCAAAGACTTGTGAGCATCTCTGCCACACATATTATTTACCACACGTAGCTTCTCCTGGTCGCTTGAAAAGAGAGGGGTGAGCGGTGACTGAGCCATTGGTTGCAATTTGCAACCCTCACCACTAAATGCCACTAAAACGTACACAGTGAACCTTTAAGGAGTCCCTCAGGAGTTGATGGAGACAAAGAACAGAGCTAACAGAGAGAATCCTGGGCTTCATCAGGTGACACAAACACAACTCCAATGTGACGATCATGTTGCTGTGCCTGGTGGATGTGTAACTGTTTGCTAACATGTCAGCCATGTCAACTGTGTGTAAGGGGGATAATGTGTCAGTGTTGTGTTTATAGTGTATACTGCCCCCAGTAGGCCAAAGCTTTCAGAACTTACCAGTAATATATAGTAAAGTTTTTAAAGGCTTATTCATGCTATAGTTTTTAGCAAATGTGACTTAACAAACTTTAAGTTAAGTCCTGGAGTAGCTGCAGCAAAGTGAGATGTTATACCTATTGAGGTTCGCAAAAACAAAAGTAAGAAACTCTCTTAACAGGAGGAAATAGTGCATTTGTTGGGGACTATTTTCAGCAGCGGATGAATCCACTCTCCAGTGAGTATTTGGTGCAGCAGGACGGTGTATGTCGGACTGAGTCAGAATAAACTACAGTGTGTAAGTTCATGGTGATGAAGGAACATGTGCAGCAGTGAGGCTCACTGATCATTGTTCTGGACAACAATGGAGAAGGAACTGCGGCGCGTGCCTTTGGTGTGGTAAACCCGGGTTACATTCCCGCTGCAACACATCCAGCAATGTGTCCCTGAGCAAGACATTTAACCCCTAGTTGCTCCAGCATCTACAACCTCTGACATATACAGCGATTGTAAGCCGCTTTGGATGAAAAGCTTCAGCTAAATGAATAAATGTAAATGAGAAAACTGTAAAAATCAACAGGTTTGTTTGCAATGTCGGCTGATGGCGCCTCCTGAGTTTGAGAATATAGCAGTGTGTGTAGGATTCTGAGTAGTCACTAAAAAAGGATGATCTTCCATTTAGACTTTTGCCTGTGTAATATTGTAGAAAAATGTATGTATTTGTAGTCATTTATAGAAAAATCAATGCTGATAAATGGTGGCCTGACACCTGCCTTGCCCACATTTAAACAACCTCCCGGAAACCAGCACGAGAATATGAATCACCAACATACCGTCACCAACATACCGTCACACGGTTCCAAAAACAGCCCTGTTCTTTGTACAACATGCTGGCGTTTCAGTTAAAAAATCAGCTGAAAGCTTCGCCATGAATGGTCTCGGTGTTTCTGAAAGGAAAACATTTGTCCAACCAGCGCGCCTCCCTTTGGAAACACGTTGAGCACATTACTGCATTACCCAGAAACTGCAGCTGGCACTCTCTGCAAACAGCCATCCTAAAGTCAATTACACCCCGGCTCCAGCTCTGCTGACTTCTATTTTCTTTTCAGACTGCAGTGTGATTGCTCATAAGTTGCGATGATGTATTTCAGATAATAGGTGAACTCAACGAGCCCTGTGGAAAGAGACGGAGGCAGAGTCATGGTTTATGTACTTTTGTTTTATTGTCCTTTTGTCTTTGGGTCCTCAAGGTTTCCTTGTATGTTGCGGTTAACAAGGCTCCTGATCGGCAAAGTTCCTCAGATTATACACAAAATAAAAGGCAACAGATTTGAGGTGTCTTTAACTTCAAAGGAATAGTTTGACATTTTGGGAAAATATCGCTTTGACATTTAGATGAGAAGCTTCAAACGTCTCATGTCTGCTAAATATGAAATTTTAAAAATCCTCCAACCATAATTAGTGAGCTTTACATGGATTGTGTTACCAGTAGACAGAGCCGAGCTGAGCTAATCGGCTGCTGGCTGTAGCCTTATATTTAACGGACAGATATGAGAGGAGTGTCAATCTGCATCTCTAAGTTTCCCTAATAAACACTTTCTCATGTCTTTAATCCGTACACAGAGAAATGTAGGGGAATTGAGCGCTTACAATAGGCAGTGACTTCTTCAGTCTTTCTGAAAGGTTGCACAGCACAAAATATCAAACTATTCCTTTAACAAACAAATAATACAAGTTAAAAAGAAGAAATCTTTTAGGTTTGCAACACTGCAGAAGACTCTTCAGTAAGTGTTTATATCACAGCTGATGTTCTGTAAAATCCCCATTTTTATTTGCCACATTGCCTAAAGCTAATCATTACAGAAAGCTATTTTTATGAGTCTGTCCAGCAGTTCTTCAGTGATAAATGTAGCAGGACTCTTGATTGTTAAGTGGCTTGTCAAACGTGGAGCCAAGTAAAGCTAACCGTGCACCAGGCTCCGGTGGGTGACCTCAACCAGTGGAGACTGTACGCAGTGAGCTTACACTTGATCAATGTGCACCATTTACTCTGAGACCCTTACATGAAGAAGCCCTTAGTGCCTCCGCGCAGGAATTATCAGTATTTTGTATTGTATTGTATTTCTGTCTCATTCAGCAGGTTGGCTGCAGGCCCGCTGGGTCCAAGGCAGGTCGGCCGGTTCAGAGCTTAGTCCTGCAGAGCTTAGATAGCAATCAGGGAGCCAGTCACTGCCAGGAAAAACCGTGCTCACTCAGGGCCTGGCTTAGTCCCATTTGTGACCTCAGCAATCTGTACACAAACCTCACGGGAGAAATCAACGTCTTATCTGTTACGTGTTATCCAGAAGTGGCATTTTCATGATCTCGACTGCCGAAAATCTACATATGTTTTAGTCAGAGTTTAGTTATTTGATTATTCTTGGTTTTAGGCAACAAATACTAAAGATATTTTAGATATAGAGTGATAACTTTGTGTCTCACTTTCATCATCGCTTCCTAATTTTTATGTCTTCTGGACATCCTGACGGTGGGTTCAGACCATAGACTGCATAAAGGTTCAGACAGAACTTTTTAGATTGTACAGAAAAAATTGACAAGGCGAAGACGCCAATTCAAAATGTTTCAACTCCCCTTACACTTCAACTAATCGCAGAGCTTTCTGCTTCATAAACGTCCAGAGACGAAAGGAAAATGCAGAGAGACTGAAGGGAAATAACAGAAAGAACCGGAGTTTCTGCTGAGTTCACACTCCGACAGATACAATCAGTGCAAGCTAGCTTACAGCTAACTTCTGTACAGTTGGCACATTAGCTGTTTGGGGCAAAAAACAGAAACGCTTTTTGACTGAACCAACCATGAGGCTACAGCTGTCGCGATCTTTGCTACGTAGTGATATATAGGCGCTGTTTGAAGCAGACTGTAATGGTTTACGCACACAATGTTGCTCTCTGCAGTCTCCATCAGAATACAGTCGACATACAACTCTGGACTGTCTGATTAGAGTCGCTCACTTTCTTGTCTACATCAGCTTTAGACGAGCAGCTAAAATGTCAGATCAACGTATTTTTTTCTTGAGTGAACATCTAGAGGAAGATTTAGCCGATTAATCTTGCACTCATTCCTACCAGTAGCCCATCCTGTGGATAAATATGTCCATAATTCTGTAAAATCTTTCCTCCGTAAACTTGTTCATCTTAAGTAACATCACTGCTTTTTAGTGCGAAAGGTAAAGCAGCTAACACATCTTCCATAGTTGTTCGGTGGAGCTATCGTGTGTGAGCATTAAAATATTAATTAATAAAGGCCCGTATTTCTACTTATTGTTGAGATTTTATTCTCTGACGAATATTGTGATACCTTTTGTCATAGTTTTGTTTTCAAAGCTTTTATTTCGCATTAATTTTGTTTCCTTGTCAACAAATATTTTTTACCACTGACCAATTGTTTCCAAAGCTTCCACACACTGCGGTGGCCACTACCACTGCTGGATAACAAGAGGTTTAAAAAATAATTGTAAAGTTTTTCGACTTCTCCTGAAAGGTTTGCGTAGGGAACCACCTGAGACAGAGTCATGGAGCCGTGGCTCTGCTCATTCACTATAAGAAACTACAGTATTTGTATCAAAAATAGCAGTTTATCAAGGCGCTACATAGGCAGTTAGTGTAGATCTACACTGCTTTGCTGTGTGCCTGCAGAAGCCAAGTCATGCTCTGAAGTCTAAGATCAAGCCAAACATAGAGATACAGCCACAAAGGTCTACTTCACTGTAAAACCGAGCTTGTGCAGTGACTCTGCAGCACATCGCTGTTTTTATTTATGCCAGGCATTTTCTATTGCTGAACTACTGTTTGCCTTGTCTCCTCCAACTTTAGGCATCTTCTATATGTGCAGTGCAAAATTCATACCTTTTTTTTAGTATTGTGGAGTTCTGTATTATTTTTTCCACTGTCATTATGTTATGCTATATGTAAACCAAAGAGACTTGGATAGTTTGGCCAAAAAAGACAAAAAATAATAATGTAAATATTTCTATAGTATATCAAAAAATTGTCGTAAACAGAAATACATTTCTACATAATAACATTTCTACTTAGAAAACATAAACAATGCTAACAGTTGGAAGTTGCTTTTCCTTATTCATTTTAGTGATGAGTCTGATGTTTGGTCCAACACATCTGTATAAAAACATAAAATACTAGACAGTAAGATGAAGTACAAAGTACCAGTCGTAGCACCTTGTTAAGTATGGACAGCAAAAATCGGTTTTAGTTGTGCTAGGCTTGTATTCCTACCTGACAGGTATCACAGGATTTAAACTTGCTTTCTTTTCGTGTGTTTTCATCATGGTTTCTTGTTGTTCCAGGTCCTGAATAAGACAAGATAAGTGCCCAAAGTATCCGTCCAACCACGAGTTGTTATGCTGTTAAACTCAGTTCAGGCTGTTCTTTGTTATATGACAGGCCTAGTCCGTTCTTGAATGACAGTATGGCTGTAGTTGTGATATCCTCCATCCCCCACCCCCCAAAATAACCCACCCACCCCCTTCAAAGGCATTGATTAAATAATATGAACCTTAAATATGTGTAAACTATCCCTCGTAGAGTATCAGGTCCTAGATTACAAAGCAACAACATGACTGTCTGACAACAATGTCTTAAGGTTTCCATGACATAAAGCATCACATTTTGAATGTGTTTGTTCCTCTGTCTCTTTTTCACTTCGCTAGTGTGTTCACTAGTGTATAAGTGTGTGTGTGTGCATGCTTATGTGTGTGTATGTGTGTGTTTGCAGCTCAGTTGCGGCCCTTGAAGCAGTAGACGCCGTACAGCTTATGCTTCTTGTCGGGGAAGCCGCTGAACCTCACAGCAGCCTCTGTGGGACTGCAGCGCCGGCGGGGGCGGGAGATGGGATAGCGGACGCTGCCGTCAGCCAACCAGCCGGCGTCGCAGCGGTCAAAGCCCAACAGCTTCCAGGCGACGTACATCTGGCCGACCTTGGCAATTTGAGCACCGTCTTTTTCACACGCCTCGACCGCCTCGTTATATGTTAACTTAGAGGGGTGGATCAGGTAGTAGAACCGACCTGGGAAGAAAAACACAAAGGCTGATAAGGACAAAGACATGCAGATATAAACACACAACCGGTTTGCAAATAAATGTCTAAAGAGCCAATAAGGCAGTGTTCATTACACCCTGTGACGTGAAAGTGCTTCATAGAACAAGCAAAAGTAAATCGTCTATTAATGAACACTATGCCAGAAACGCATGGAGGACATCAGACGAGACAAATCACTGTGACACAAGCTGTTGCATCCCGGTCAATTGCAAGCGCTGAAAGAATCAAGGTAAGCTACTTGCCTTCTTCAAGTCGTTGTGGCGTGACTGACAGGGGGTCACACACTACACGAACTGACAGCGGCTGTGTCACCCCAGCTGGTTTCCAAACCACGTTTAGTAAACAAAACACATGTGAAATGTGAAACAGGAAATGAGCGATCCTACACAAGACAAAGAATCTGGGTGATTGGATTAGCACACGCAGGTAGCAGGGATCATCTGAGCTACAGAGAGAGCTGGAGGGGAGTAAAAAGTGTTTTGCGGTGAAAAAGTAGCTGCGTGCTCTCATTGGCTGGATGTCAAGTCGGCCGACTCCTCGTGCTAGGTATCTGGCAGATGTCGGCGATGTGTCAGAAATGTGTCGGGAAGCCGTTTTGATGCGTCGTTGAGTAGTTCACACATAACGTCTGGCAACAGCCAATCGACCGCTGATTTAATCGATCTCAGCCTGATGGTTGCCGAGCTCGCGAGCGGCAAATCAGGCTAAAAATCGTGTAGTGTGAACTAGGCTTTAGGCCCGCAAAATCATGGAGGGACTGTTTAGTGATTCAACTGTAATTCTAAAGTTTAAAAAATCACCTTTGCAGTTTTACCTTATTCCTACAATTTCATCACAAAAATGCTACCAAAACATCAGAACTTTCATTACAATTTTTTTGAAAAGTTGGCTAAAAATCTGGCATTAAAAGGCCGCAACTATCACACACCTTGAAAGAAGGCAAAGATGTACCCAGAATCCCTCCTTTATTTATCTCCACCATGAACTTCACATTTGAAGTCATTCATGTTCTCCTCAGGATGAATTGTAATAAATTTGGTGATCCTCTGACTTTTCATCTTGCACCATCATCAGTATTGTACTTTGTGTTTAGTGCTAATTAGCAAATGTTAGCATGCTAACATGCTAAGCTAAGATAGTAGACTATATTAATATTGTTAATTTTAGCATGCTCACATTAGCATTTAGCATTTAAGATCCTCATGGCAAAGTCACTGAGCAGCTGTATGCCACAACATTTTCCTGGACTGTTTTCTTTAGGAGCAATGTGGTCAAATAAATGTAAACACAAACGTAAAGGGTATAACGTCCTTCACCTTTGTAGTGGGAGGTGAAGCAGAACACATCGTACTGGTTCTTCTCTTTGTCTCTCAGGCCATAGTTGCGAATGCCCGGCACTGTGTTCTTGCCTCCGCAGGGTTCTCTGGGGGTGGTGATGGGATACTGGACCGTGCCGTCACTCAGCCAGCCAGCGTTGCACCAGTCCATCCCTCCTCGCCACGCATCATACAGCTGGTCAAAGGACGCTATGATGGCGTCCTGGTCACGACATGCCTTCTCAGCGTTGTAGAAATTGAGGTTGTAACGACCCAGGCGCGGGTAGTAGGGGAAGATAACACCTACATGGAGAGGTGGGAAAACATATGACGGATAACCTGCAGTTAGCCGACAAAACTAGGATCCATCCCCTGGGCTCTGTATTCACTCCAATTATTTAACCTAATGACTGAAAGTGAAAGCAGGTCTTGCTGCGTAAGCACAGCTGTTTCCCTTCAGGCATGATATCTCTGGCTTCTCCGAAGCTGCTCTGACACTGATGTACACTATGCTTACACAACACACTTGCTCCTGACTTTCCCCCGAGCAGTCGCTGCTCACTGTGCTAAATTTAATCCGACTGCGGCCTGTTACAGTCCAATGACATTTAATAGACATTTTATTTTTAGAGAACAACGCCTCATTCTTTCCTATTTTAAAGAGGTAGCTCACCCAACTGGTATACCTTCAAGGTCAAGAGACACCACCACTGTTCCGTCTTCAAGCCCATCAATAACTTCACATTTATATTTCCCATAATCCTCCAGGGTGATTTCTGTGATGACCAGGGAGCATCCAGAGGAGAGGAGCCTTGTAGGTGGACACGTCCGTGGAAACTGCCGTAACTCCTTTTGTGATGATCCATTGCTACAAAAACATCCACCTAAAGCAAGAAGGAGAAGGATCGAGATATGAAACTATCCTTCATACTTTTCACATGTGATTTAAGATTGTACAACAAAGGCAAAGGGGGTGAGTGTTTTTTATTGTCTTAGAAATCTTCCATCCATCCATCAATCTATAACAACCTGGAATGTATTAAATAAATTTGAGTTAATTTCCCTCCCAAACAGAAGATTAAGGAAGAGCCTGCATTGTTTACACTTCCTAGAACTCTTCTTCTTCTCTTCTTTTTACCTGTTTATTACAGTCAGCAGGAGTGTGTATATGTCAACACATTCTCACTCCCAACCTCAAACAGCTGGAGCAGTTTGCTTATGAGGACTGGGCCAAAATACCTGTTGACAAGTGCAGAAGTCTTATTGAGAGTTACAGAAATTTCTTGATTGCGGGTGCTGCCTCAAAAGGTTACGCAACAAAAATCTTAGGTTCAGGGTACCAGTTTCAAGTTATTTCGGGGAACATTGTGGGCTTTTCTTTCTTTAACGGTACCAACAATTTTGACGACGCTGTATGTTACTTACGTGACTTAATTTACATCAGTCAATGTTGACTTTTTGTTTCACGCGGGAAACAAACTCCAGGGTGAAAGATCACTTTTTGGCTCGCCCATCCACCTAAATCACTCCCTTTACTCAGACTTTTCTGTTGTTCATATCTTACAACAGCTTTTACCGTTCATAAATTATGCTACAGGGCTTCCCAGTGCGTTACAAACAGACGCCAACGTTCAACGAGTCCATATGTGACAACTTGGGAGTGCGCATGGGTTGTATATGTACTGTAGGTGTGTGTGCTTCCTTGTGTGCATGTTAACAGACCCCCAAAAAATGAAGAGCCAATTATCAAAATGTATACTAGTGGTCAAAACTCTACAGGATACCTGTAAAAGGTGACCTTTAATCAGTCAATCAAGTTTGCAGTTAAAACCAAAAACACAGATTTATAGTGACCTCTTTCAGGTAGTCTGAGGTCAGCTTGGTCCACTTGATCCTCATCTTCCGACTGGGTGCCAGCGACTGGTCCCTTTGGATCTTGCATGGTAAAGTAGCGTTCCCCCCCCGCCGGGACACCACCTTTGATTGTTCTGCCACCACTGAGAGTTGAGGGCCATTCTCTGCAACACAGCAACACAAGAAAAAGACTAAGAGTCTGTAGCCACACTAGCAGCTCTGTGAGGCTGTACTACATCATTAATGTTTATAATGTTCACCATATTACTTTAGCAAAAAAGTATTTGACACAATAAAATGTTGACTGCACTAATTGAAAAGCCATAGGATCGCAAAGGATCCCTATAAGGGACTCCCGGTGACCCCCTTGGCTCATGGACAGTTCTCGCTCTGAAATCTCATGAGAGGCGAGTTGTTGCAGGAAGATGATGGTGGAAACGAGGGAGAGGAGTTTGTTTTGTACGTAAGGGAGCTGCTAGCAAGACTTTATTTCCTGACGTTACTCCAAGACAACAAACTCCTCTCTCCAACTCTGACTCACGTTTCTACCGGTGTCTTCTTGCAACAACTCGCCTCTCACGAGATTTCAGAGCGAGACTTCAGCTTCCTGTTAAAAACAAAGGGGGTCACCATGATGTTGTCAGACACCTGGTGTGACAGACTGAGCATGTCGGTGGCTAAAAGAAGCACTTTTTGGGAATGAAGGAATATGTTGCTGCCAGCTGAAGCATCTCCTGCATGGATTCAAAAACTTTTGTAACTTCTAGTCATTTAAAGTCAACATTTTAAAAGACCACAATCAACCTTTAATTCACAGACATGAGATTGATATCTACCTCCTTACCTCAGTTTCAGAGCAAAAGCAAATAAGAAAATGTTCTCAGCACCATTTCCTCATCCTTGGCATTGGATCTGTGCAGCCTTTCTAAGGTGAAATAAATCCATAACTGTATTCTTCACTGGAACCATTAAATAATGTGCTTTTGCCCGTCAACCCGCTAACAGAACAGCTGATAAACAGACGTGTGTTTGAGTCTAAACATGAAAATACACACCGTTACACAGAGCATTTAAATGTGCATGTGATTCATCGGCCGCTGTGACCTTCAGCACCAACAGGGCTTTCAGATCAGCTGCCTCCTCTCACCTCAACGCTGTCTGACCACCGCAGGGTTTCTCTTTGCTGCATAGGCATGTGTGTTAGTCAAACAGCTGATGACTTATTGATCCTATGTTCTGTACTGTGGAGATGTTAAAGGGAGAGCTGACATCTTTTATCAGTTCAGTTCCTGTTTCTCATACTGTATTTACACTGTAAACATTCAGTGATTCATATTCTTTCATATCGGTTTCTCACTGGAGCTGCAAGTCATTATAGCACTGGCACACACTTTGTTTTTTAATAAATTAGTAGTTAGTTATTGGATATAAGTTAGTGGTTGAGTGACTTATATTTTATTTTTATTTTTTTTTAATGATTTATGTATTATTATTATTGTTAATTAGCTAGTTTGTTGTCAGTTATTATGTATTTGTTAGTTTGCTATTAGTTTTTTTGTTTGTTCTTTGTTGTTAACTGTTTCATTTCAATTTGTTAGTTATTTCTTTGTTTTAAGTTTATTGGATATTAGCTATTAGTTAATTAATAGTTAGTCATTAGTGTTTAGTTATCCGTTTTATTTACAGCCAATTAGCATTGTCTATATTTACAAAATAATTTTATGTTCTTATATTACTGAAGGTACTGGACCGAAAGAACAAAAGAAAAAATAGGTTGAATAAATGAAACTATTCTGCATTATTGAGATTGAACAAATTAACTTTTGTTCTTTTCCAACTGACAAACTGTCCAGTTTTAACTTTAAGCGGTAAAATACCAGATCTCAGCTGGACACATCACCATTCTCTGTACCACAGATGTATTTCTCTTACAATGTGTGAAATCTTAACATAACCAAAGTTTTCATGTGTAAGTGCTGATAGCCTGACGAGATAACTCTATCTCACTGTGCCAGTAATCCCCACATAGCAGCGTTATCACTGAGCCACAGCGGCAGGACGTCCTGATAAGCTGAGGAAACCAATGACACTGCAGAGAGTGAGTGTCGTGAACGAAACTCAGAAAAGGACACTGGAAAAGGTCCCTCTTGATTATGAATGACATTGCCCCAAAGAAACACAGTGACACACACACACAATTACTCTCACCTACGACATAGATGGTTCTCGAGAGCTCCAGTTCAGGGTACAGGGTGTTTAAGTCGTTGTCTGCTACACTCAGTGAGATCAGAGCGCAGATCAGCACAGGAATCATCTTCACTCACCAAACTGGGGGTCGGATCACTGCAGAGAGAGGGGAGGGAGGGGTTACAGTATGTACAGTAAGATAAGGCTAAGCAAAGTGCTTTCCTGCAGTTGTATCACATGCAACATATAGAGAACAGAAAGTCATTCATATACAAGCATGTTCGACATGCAGCTCAGTGCAGAACATGGTGTGTTTCTATCTGCAGTGCTGTCTCTCCCCCCAAAGCTCTGTAATTACTCCGGGAGTGCGGAACAGACTGCATCCTCGTCACTGAGCTCATCAGACAAACGCACAAATTAAAAATCTCATTCTTGAACAGGAAATGCAAAAACATGTTGCAAACATCACTTGATCATCCCACTAGAAGCTTCACACCACAGATGGATTACACACAACAGCAGTAAGCACAGCACAACCTGGACACAGCATAAATGTAAGCACACGGTACATACTGTGCAGTAAATAGTCCCCTGCCATCCAACATGTCCCGGTGACACTTAAACAGTCCACAACTTCAGAGTGTGCCACAGTGCAGCATCACCCCCACACCTCAGGCTTCATTCACACAACCACTGCAGCTCACCCTCTACACACTCATCTTAAACAGAGAGGGATTCACCCCTTCACTTCACGCAGGGATGTGTGTTATGGAAGTCCAGTGCTGCCAATATTAAATTGAAATCACCAAATCAACTTAAATATTTTTGTCATGAACATGAAAAGTTTGAGAGAGTAGACAAAGGTTTATAACCTCTCTTGTTCACTTTTCATACAGAAAACAGAGTGATTGTCTTTTGGAAAGACTGTCCGAAAGCACCCGCTTTGAATGATTATCGTATATTTGCTACTGATTATTGGGAAAATAGGACTGTCATGAAAGAACACATTCATTTAAACCTAGAAAGTAAATAAGAATTCATTATTTATGTATTATTGGAAACTTTATTCTCCATAAATTTAGAACCACAGTACTGTGCAAATGGTTTTAGCCAGGTGTGGAAAAAAAAAGTTAAGTAAGAATGCTTTCAAAAGTTTCATAGATTATATTTATCAATTAACAAAATGCAAAGTGAGTGAACAGAAGAAAATTTTAATCTAAATTAATATTTGGTGTGACCAACCTTTGCCATCAGAACAGCATAAATTCTTCTAGGTACACTTGCACAAAGTCAGGGATTTTGTAGGCATATCAGGTGTATCATTAAACAAATACACCAAACAGGTGCTAATGATGATAAATTCAATATGGAGGTAGGTAGGCTGTTACGATCAATAACAGAAACGGCTGTGTAGGAGAACAGCTGGGTGAGGAACTAATTAATTTGAATCAATTAAACACTGTTGCTGCTTTTACTATCAAAATGCCAAATTACACATTAAAACAAAATAATCCTGAAATGCCGAACTGTGAAATAAATTACTGAAGCGATTAACTGATTATCAAAATTGCTAACTCACTCCCAAGTCGTCACATATGGACACATGGTCAAGACCCCTTGGCATCAATTTGTAACGCTTTGGGGGAGCCTTATAGAGTACTTTATGAACGCTGAAAGTAAGTGTAGTATATAAACAACGGAAAAGTCAGAGCAAGGAGGTGGTTGGATTTGCCAGAAAGTGGACTTTCACCTAGGAGACTGGTCTGAACCGAGTGAAACAAAAAGTCAACTCTGATTATTTTTAGTGAAGGTACGTAAGTTACGTTACTTAACATAAGTAACTTAGGTCACATAAGCAATTTATTTTAACCCAAGCCACGATCTTCTCCTAAACCTATCCAAATTGCAACGTTTCACAACGTCAGCCGCTAGTTTTATTTTGAAAGTCTAACCAGATTGTTTCATATTTATTATTGCAAATTTGACGGGTCGCGGTCAAGTTAGCAATAATAAACACGTCAATGGGCCAGATTCACTAAAGGTTTGTGCGAGTAAAAACGTGTGCAAAGTTGATATCACCAGCAAATTAACACGTAAGCTGATCTGCTAACAGTGTGCACGCAGAATGACGTCTTTCAAAAGTGCAAGATAGCACCTGTTGTTCATTTACTACTTTTGCCTTAGTGAATATGCAATTTGGGGCGTTTCAATTTTATTGTGCAAAGTAATGGGAGGGTAACATGCAAATACATTTATTTACTTCACGCAATGTGATCTAACAAGTCTAAACGCAATTTAATGTGAGTGCAACAGCTTCTGTATTTAATAAGTTTGAGAGGAAGGTGCAAACCGCCAAGTGTTGTGCAGAGATGGCTGCTGTTATCGTTGAGAGAAGGAGACACAGCTGTAATGATAGAAGACGTAGAGAAATTAACAATATTAGATAATATTATTTTATATCCAATGTATTGAAATAGAATTCTTAAATTTTATTTATTCGATGAACTATATGAATTGAGGGTTTTTTTGTATTTTCCTTTAGCTTTGGTGATACTGTTGTTTTAACATTCATGCCAATAAAGCAAATTTCGTTTCAACCTGACTTCTTTTCTTCATGAGATGGAAGAATTTAGAAAGTTGCGTGGTGCTGCGGAGAGCCCCCAGCTGCAGTGGTGCATAAAATTCATTCAGCCAGAGGGAACGATCACCAACTGTTCATAGCGCGCCAGTCGTAAAAGCGACACAACCCATTGTAGGTCTCGGAGAGGGAATGTGGCGTTGGGGCGTACAGGGCCAGGAGATCTCGGAGCGACCGGGCACGGTGTGGATGGTCGATGATTGTTCCCTCTGGCTGGATGAAGCACGATCTGCTGGCATTTCCTCATGTCTGGGTCGTTCCAGCACACTGTATCTGTTTCTGCTGGGGTTTCACAAAGCAGTTTTTCATTTCTCATTTAAATACGGCCACCTCTGTTGTGTTTGCACCCGTTGTCATATATGCAATAATTCTTATTGATCACCCATAACAGGTACGACAATTGCACGTGTAATATTTTAGAACGCACACTCTTTAATCAGGATGTTAGTAAATCCGGCCCTAAATGTCCAAAAACGAAAGGGTTAACCGGGGCGTTAAAAAGCAACGCCATGGGTTCTTGACCAAGCGTCCATATGCGACGAGTTCGCGTGAGAAAATGTTAAAATTGTTGCAGATAAATTGTTCTGTCAATTGATTTTATTACATGATGTAATTTAAATATTGGCAGCCCTGGACTTCCACACAGTGTCTGTGTGAGTTCGTGGACTGTATAAGTGTTTGAGGGGGTATTCTGATTGATCCCCCCCCCTCCTCCACATCCTTATCTCCAGTCACTCCATCCCAAATTGCTGATGTGCTGGTCCCCTTGCCAGGTGGAGCTCCTGCAGTCAGCAGAATAACTCTGCAGCACACACACACACACACACACACACACACACACACTGTGCCAGTTACACACACATCACTTATTACCCCTCCCTGCCTGAAAATATTCATTACCGGGACAGGACGACAGGGGGGTGGGGGTTGCACCGTTAACTAGGTGAAGCGTGGGGAGCGTGTGGGGAAAGATGTGATATGTCTTTTTAAAAAGGGTAAAAACTTTGAGTCAGGCTGTTCTCTGCAGAACACGAGGAGAGCAGGTGACGTGTGAAATGAGAATAGAGAGGAGACGGAGGGAGATGAAGATACAGCAAGAGAAAAAGCAGAGAGGGAGGTGGACGAGGCTGAGACTCTGCAGCAGCAGAAATGATGCAGTTTCAAGCTCCGTTACTGCCAAATCACAGCAAACTGAATCATTTTGGGATTTGGATATTTGAAGATGTCACTTTGGACTCTAATTAGTTAAGACAACATTTCTCACTATTTTCCTACACAATAAATCGATTAAACCAGCGGATTAATTCATATTAAAAATAATAAAATATGAACTCCACCTAAACCAACTCTCACCTCAATCCTGCTTAAACATTAATACATGAGTAACAAGTGTTAGATAGAACAAGATAGTTCCTATGGAGAGCATGAAACTGATGTGCTGCACAGAGAGTCTACAGCTATTTTTAATTTTCCACTCTTGTCCCTGATTGGGCTTTTACATGTACAGTGTGATTAAAATACACAGCTTTCAGTATCATAAAACCAAAATACACTACACATAAAATACATATACCACAATACTACAGTACAATTAGCTAAAAATGGGTACAGCTCTGGTTTACAGTATATAATAATACTACTATACTATATCATTAGATATTACACCTCCACCACTGATTAGCACCATTAGTACATGTTAGCTGTGTTAACACACTCAGCTGTTTACGACGGTGTACTTCCACATGTCAAAGGCATCATCAGTGTGCGTGCGATCTCTTAACAGCCAGTTTGTAAATGTGTCCTTCAGAGTGACAGCATTCCTCAGCTTCCATCTGCGTGGAGGGTAAACAAGGCCAAGTCTTTATAGGCCAGGTGCGTGAGCGTGAGTAAGTCACCTATCTGTCCTCAAACAGCATGGTGACGGTTCCTCTCATTTGTCTGATCCAGTGGAACGTGTGAGGCTCTCTGGGGGAAGGAACGTGTTTCATTCTGGGTTTCCTCAACGATCTTTGGACCGCAAAGAGGTCACAAAATTTAGATACAGTTATAATTTGGTATTTTTAAGTTACAGAACGGTGATATCTTTATTTTTATTTTAAAAGTAGTGGAAGAAGCACTCAGATAGTCGCGCTTAGGGGGAAAGTAATACAAATTGATGTGGAGGCTGATTTTTAATGTATTTATATTGTGACACAACTATGACACAAAAACTGACCAACCTGGGTCAGCTGTAACGCTACATGCTGCGACTGACCGGGTGTTAAAATGTATCAGCAAGTAGGCGAGTAACAAAAAAACAATAATTCTAAAGCTTCTGACACTCAAGGTGGTAAGAGGCTTAAATCAAACATTTCAGAATCACTATGTCTCAGATGTGCCAACAATATCCTCTGTTCTATTTGTGTTAAATCCTGTTTAAAATAAAGCCGGAAAACAACTTTAAGCCCACTGTTAAGGCACATTACTGCCACCAGCTGTTTCAATCCTTTTAAAGTATCCTTTAACAAACTAATGTTAGCAAATCACTGCACTGAAACATTTAAATAACAAGTTGACTTGCAACAGAAACGATTTTATTACTTTCTTAATAAATGTTCTAAGAAATATTATTTTAAATTGTATCACTTTTCCAGTACTGAGATGTGTTAACTTGCATGAACATTGAAAATAACATCCATCTTAACAAGCCCTCTGCTGTAGTATTTCATTTTCAGCCTTGCAGACTTTAAACAAAAGTAAACAAAAAAACAGTAAAAAAACAAACAAACAACTGAAGGCATGGGTTGAGATCAGTGACTGGTTAAGATGGAGATTTGTTGCAGCGACCTTTTGTCCCAGAGAGAACAGTGCGACTCCTCCCAGTCCCTGGAGTCACTGCAGGATGCCAAGAAAGTGATTGTAACTGTGAACATGCCAACACAAGCACATGCACTCATACACACATCAGTACTGTGGTGAAAGAGCTTTATTTTGAATAGTCAGTCAATAAACTGAGGACTCGCTGCTTCTGTGTAGCCGCGTTAGCAGTCGCTTGCTCGGACCACCTTTTTGGTCCAGACTGAAAT